CATAAATTCTCATAAAATCACACGCTACGTAGAAACCAGTTCCCCACGCTTTACTGACGTAAAAATGTCGTAACGAACGTGGAAGCAATAGGCCGAACACGTGTTCACTCTAGCAGCTGTCATTATTTCACCGGTTCGCTAATATTGACTCTCTGTTCATTCCCATTCAATTTTTCCCTAATAAATTATACACGTACACACGCACCGATAAAGTTAACGAAATTCCTTATACCGTTCTATTTAATAAAATATAATCATATATTCGCCCGATAATAAATTCGATACGTGGGTATTTGTCTCGTATTTTTAAGAACATTCGAACCACTTATCGTGGATTAAATTTCGCAAGAATTTCGCACAATACGGTGTCACACATTAGTATCTGGAACGGTACTCTTGAACTTTCGCTTTCTCCAACCGCCACGTGATATTTTTACCAAAACCCGCCGTTCATAACCTCTAAGCGACTTCGCCTGCCGGAAGTTCCTATGAAGATATCGAACGGATTTTCCGTACACGATGTCGAAAATGTATTCTAGAATGGGGATTGTATCTTGGTGACAATATCTTACGAATTCGAATCAAATTAACATTAAAAAAAACCCATAAAGGGCAGTGAAGGTTAACCGTCACAACGTTCAAATTCGCTGTCCACGAGTCCACGGTCAATCCCCTCTGAAACTCTATTCGAGGTTCGCGATAGGTTAAAACCGCGGTGTGAAATTCTCAGTCGGATTCGGACTCGTTGCCCCTTTAAGAGTGCCCATAGATAGCTGCACAAGCCACTGCACAGATGCAGACACACACACACACACACACACACTCACCCGTTGCAGGAGTTCATGATAGCCTTGAAGGAATTCCTCGCACACCTGACAGGTAGACGGGATGCTCTCGTGTTTAAGAATGCATGGTCTCTTTATCGTATACATTCTCCCGGAATGTAACTAGAAACTAACGGAGCGGCGTTCACTGAACACTTTTTCCCTTCTTTATTTTCCTCTGCTGGAAAATTAGGCCACACAACCCGAGAAACGAACGATCCACGGTTGGATAGTTGAGAATATCCTCTCAAGTCGGCCGCGTCCAAAGACACGTGACGAGCAGACGGAATCGAATAGAAAATGGTAACAGATGAGTACCGTTTGATGATTCATATGCACGAATCAGCGAAAACGAGCTTCGCCAGCGAGCGAGCGATTCGAAAGCTCGGAGTCCGATCTCGAGACTGAGGAGCACGAAGAAACAGAGGGGAATCGGAACGAAGATATCAGTTCGCCTATCCGGGGATGCCCCCCACCCCACCATATCTTGCAATGTCTTATGGTATACGTCATACTCTACGTATGCCTCGAAGCAAAGTACCTGTTGGTACGTACTTCGGCCTTACTTCTTTTTCGTGGACGTGCAAGTGTCACACCATCGGGAAACTGCTACTTCGCCGCATACTTTATGACCGTGATCAAAGATTCCGTCTTTTTTGTACCCTCATCAAACAATTACGAGTCATCTATAAGAATTTTTTTTGAGAAATTTTCATGAATCGATTTTTATGATTCCTATGGTTTGACAAAAATTTATATTATTACTTTTGCCAGTATTTATGGTAAGTACAGTTATAATACTAGGGTGCGTCAGAATAACAAATACCTGTGGAGATTTTTCGATTGGATTGTATTTTAATTGGATCGCAACGCGTGTGTGGCGAACACGTAACCATGTGTCCTCTTTTCACGTGAAAGTTAACTATTCCGGCTCAAAAACCAACTGTCACGGTAGAGACAAGGTACCCTCGCGAGCAAATTCGGCTTCCGCAAGGGGAAAAAACGGTGTAGAAGAAAAATCTTCTACTACTTGGTAATTTATTCCAGGTAGTGAAATAAATGTTAAATTGAATGTTAATTTGGCATACATTTCAGTAATTCCAATTACCAAGTGGTATGGAAGTCAAATTTGCTTCTGGATGTACACCGGTTACCTCCAGCAGCTGCAAAACGGGATACGGTATACTTCCGTGTGCTTAGGGGAGTTTAGATTTGCAAATAAAAGAAAAAAAAAATGAAACTCTTTTTACGTTTGTGTTGATTTAATGACCGTATGTATCCGTATAACACGTATAGAAAATGCGTACCGACTAAAACCGCCCCAGTCGTAGCAGTACCAGCTGCATTACGGAAATACACGTGAATAATGAAGTGCGTCATCCTACGAGGAAACTGATACCAGACTCAATGGTGGCGACAATTTACTTCACTGAATTCGCACACCGATAGGTACAGTTTAATTTAAGAATGTTTTTTTTTTTTTTTTTTTTTTGTTAAAATCGATACACCTGAGAAATTTTAATAATTTTCATTTGCAATTTGCTAGTTACGGCACTACTTATATAAGTAACATAAATGTCTTACTTGCTTCGATGGTTAACTAGAGGGAACATAAAGTGTCGGTCCACGGAACCAGAAGAGTCTTAAAATTTTTGACCATAAGGCTTTCAAAGCGGCGCTGTCTCTAGGCCTAGGGCACGGGAGATTTGTGGTACAGCACTACGGTCTGTACCGTACTCAGCAGACGATGACCTCACAGACTAGCAGCACATGTATGCACGGCTGACGAAACGTTGCGAGATATTTCGCCACCCTAAGAAATCCCGCCGATTTACGATTAAGTTCAAACTACAAGATGTTGTAAAAATATCGCGTTTCATTAAACAATAATCGTTTGACACGTTAATAAGAAAGCACAATCGATTGCTAGAATTTCTTGTCCGTAATCCATATACTTTTTCATCGTATGTAGGAACATATAAATGAAAGTTTGTATTTTACGTTTTATTAACAGTTGTTGGTAATATTTAAAAAAAAAAAAAAAAAAAAAAGAACTAATTATAATGCTACTCGTGTAGCACATTTGGGCCAGGCAGTAGAAACAAACTGGTCGGAATGAACGCAATTTTGCATTGGACACATTTTCATATTTCTACATTTGCCTGATAACCAGTGACGTGAGTAATGGCAAGCGTTGGCGACTGACATATCGCTTCCCCATTGTCGATTTCAATGTTAGAAGAACATACACGTCAGTACTATCTAATGTGCGTAACACTGTTTTTTTTATTGTTTATCGTATCAGAGCTACAAATTCTGTGTAAACATAATACAAAGATTGTATGTTACTATAATATTAAAAAGAAAAAAAAAAGAACATTTATCACCAAGTTCTAAGGACTATTTATTCACAGGGCATAAATTCGTTAGCCGTAAAACACTTGTTTTTAAAGGGGAACAAATTGTTTAAATAAAAATACGAGAAGACACAGGTGGGCTCGACGAAGTCCCCTCGTTTTTAATGCTACCGATGAAAATTCCGTTTCTGCAGGGTTAAGTCAGTGAATACCTCGTTATTGAAAAAAAAAAATTCAATCTAATTTTTATAATATCTGGTTACAAAATCACTGTTGTTGGGTGTTATACTTTCACTCGGCCTAAAAACAATGCGATATGGAGTAACCCGATAATCAGTTTCGAAATCCGAGTTTATATCCTTGGAAAGCGTATCACCCGATTTGCAACCCTTTCGATCACTATGTGAAGGTAGACGGTCGTGCAGAAAAAAAAAAGGTAATTTCAAATGACGCATGCGCAGGAAAGTCCATACGAGTTCGTAGAACGCCTGCGCGTCGGACGTGAATCGAAGAAGGAGATTGGACGGTCTAACGCTGCGGGGAAAGGTGCTGGAAACAGCTGGGAGACTATCAAGGTCATTTCGAATGACAGCCGCACGTCACACCTCCGGTCGAGCCCTCTCCGTCGACGAATAGGAGGCCCGGAATCGATTCTGATCGTCGCCTTGTACATTCGCAAACTACACCCACGAGTTCATCGTACAATAGCTACACACGGCCGGCAAAACGGTCTCAGAGAATCATTTGCGCCAGCTGCATTTCTGTTCCGTTAAGGGGCTATGCTAGTGTGACGGCTGTATAAGGCAATTTTTGGGATTTTTTTAAAGAAAAACTATTGAACTTATCAATTGGAATAATATACATATTTACTAAATAATATTTGTAAAGTATGCTATATTTTTATAAAGTAAAAACAATGTATTTTTTAAAAGTTACAGCTCGTTTGTGAGAGTGTCTTAACGAAATTTCGTTTCCATGGCGGCCATAGTATAGACTTGTGTGAAATAAAAAAAACAAATATTTTCTTAATTGGTATGTGTGTGGCTATAGCCCGTACCAGAATAATTTAAAAAATTTGAGGAATAAAAAATGGCACCTTTCCAAACAAAAGGTTTAATTTACTTGCATAAAAATGGCTGGTTTTTTAACCCGCAAATTTGTAATTTTTAATCGATCGCGATCAGTTTCAAGTACTGTTTTAGAGCATAAAAAGAGGAATGTTTCAAACTTACATCTAATCACCTATTCCGAGCCATATAAAACACCTTCATCTTCCTAAAAAAATTGTTGCAAATTGCAAAAAAGAAAAATCCGATTTTCTGAAACCGTCACACTAGCATAGACCCTAAACCCTCGTGCTATGTTCGCCTCAATATAACCCGAAACGGAGATTGAACATTTAGTAATATTATTTTCAGTTATATAAATGTTTAAATAAATAATTTACAATTAATAATTTGTTTTTGATTTTCGTGCTTTTTCACAGAAATCGTATAAATTTCTCTATTACTTGAATATAATATGGGGGTCGATGTAGAACTTGTACTGTTCGTAGAAATTTTATAATAATAATTTCGAAAAAAATCAAATGCACCAAGATGAAAATAAAAAACCTCGGAAACTTATTTATAATAATTTATTACCGAATAAATTGAATTTTCTCATTTCTCTTGGAGAACTTGGTCATTATTCGAACGTCAAAAGGTTACTTATAAATACGTTAATATTACTGTTTCTTTTATTATTATTAGCTCTATTCTATAAGTGTCCTATTGTTTTCAAAATTAGTTACAATAGCGATATAATTTTGTATACTTACGTTTGTGTGGTGCCAGTATTCGATAAGACCCAATAGATCGGTACTCGGTGCATAAAGCAGAAAATCCCGCCACTCGTTGAAACTAATAGTAAGACTTCCATCTTTGTCCATTCTAAGAATCGAAGAACAATTGTAAACGATACAAATGTTCAATGGATAATAATATATAAAATTCAAATAGGTAGTGAACCGCTTTAATTAATTATAAAAAAAAATTGTATTTAAATATCAATGTATAGATCCCATCGCGATGCTCCAATCATTCTTGCCGCCGCGAGCAAGGCAATATATGACCGTAACGGTAAGAATCATTGGAACACAATACAGGGTGCCAAAAAAAAACATTGTTACCCCAAAGCTTACCGTTGCAGCAGTTTCTTCGCCTCGTCGTAATCCATCTTTACCCCCAACTCTTCAAACGTCTTTATCAATTCCTCCAAATCGATTTTTCCTACAAAATCAAAGTACGCGTCACAACACCGGAGGAACACAAGAAAACACAGTGTTTTCCATTACGTCAGTACGTCGGTTCGTTTCAACAACGGAATAAACAAAAATCAGCAAAAACAGCAATGATAATCGAAATTTTCACGAATTGAGCAACTGATGACGCTCGTTTGTATTCAGGATGAGTAACAATGTTTATAAATATTTATCAAGTATTCAATTTTTTTAAGGTCACTTCGTTTACATTTTCGAAAATATTCAAATGACCATTGTACTCTGTTTTTTTTTTAATTTAACAGAATGACATTCTTGAGGCAACCTTAACCCTCAGATCATAGACATCGTTATCTGTTGTTACGTATGATGACGCGATGGATAATGCTTATCCGGAATACACGACAGATAATGGCGCACAACTGTCAAACTTTTTCTCTGAGGGCTGTGAGATGGGTTCAAGGTTATGTCACGCTACAGTGAATAAAAAGTACTAACCATCTTTGTTCTTGTCAAGATGAGTGAATTGTAGACGTAGGTTTTTTTCATGCTCACGGACGTAATGTATAAATTCCGCGAGGCTAATGTCACCGCTTTTGGTGCTGTCTGACCGGGCCAAGAATTCCTGGAAAAGAATACTCACTGTCATCTATGAATTTTATTACAAATTTAAGAAAAATTTTTGTTAGAAAAATTTATGATTTTTTATTGTTCGATAAAAATCATATTTAAAAATGAAATTTTAAAACGGACGTCAAAGTACACACGCATGTATATTTTTTGGTGTTATTTTTTGATAACAGCGACCCTATTCTCATTAACCTTGGCGAAACCATATAAATTAACTATGAAGCTTAAGCGATATGCAAGACAGTTTCACAAACATTTTCCTTGTTAACTTGTTTTCCAATTTCACGAAGCTGTTTCAAATACTAAAAGTCAGTGGTTTCGAATAACATTCAATTTTTTTTTATATTTTCGCAACTTTAACTTACTCGATAAATAAATTTAAATTAACAAGTAATTAACACGTAATATTGAACTTAAAAAATACTTCATTCAGAAACAGTAAATTATTCAAAGAAATTCTATGAAGTATAAATAATCTAACCTAAATCGATGTGTTTATTAAGAAAAACGAACGTTTCAGAATTTATGTAATACCTGCGTCTGTACTTTATGATGTAAGTTTGATGAGTCTAATTTTGAATGTAAATTATTAAACAGAGCAATAAAATACAGTAGAAAAATCATTTGCGGCTAAATACTTTCTAACTAGTCCATCTCGAACGTAAAAGTCGCACGCAACGTCCGCATTATGTAGTTCGATCGTGTGTTGGCACCGTTTGTGGTACAACGAGAGTATTCCAACGATACGACACACAAAGGGTCACTATATGCATTGCTCCAATTATTCCTACGTGTTTTTCAAATTTATATATATTTAAATAATTCGCAAAAACCAGTGCCTGAATGAATCTGGATCTATATATTAAAAAAAAAACGTAATTATTTATGGATAGAACGCCTTTCTTTTGTCGTATCTAATATAAACAATAATTACATTAAAAATTTTTACGATTTAGTAAAGTAGACGATGCTTATGAAGGGTCGGCTGAACTGGGTCAGAATAGACCCATGCCACTCCTTGCTTAATAGTCACATAATGACGTTAAAAGATCATTATCGTTATTTTAATATTATTTTTCTGTTTTTATATAAAATTACTATTTCATTGAAGAACATATAAGTTTTAAATAATATAATTAATTTTTAAATAGTAAAATATACTTTATTGGGCACTGTTCTGCATTTAATATTATTTTCATACAGTGAGTGTGAATAGATGCATTTTCGTTATTTAAATTTTAAATCTTCTTAAATGAAATATAATAACGAAATATGAATGAGAATAATGAAAATGCATCTGTTCACACCCACTTTGTAAAAATAATTTTATAAAATACCATTAAATGCAGAACAGTATCAAATAAAGTATATTGTACTATTGCATATTACTTATTCTGTTTAGAATATTTATTATGAAAGACCTGAGTGTTCAAATACATTGTTTTTCCATTCTGCGTACAACCGAAAGTTTACTTACAGGTCAAGATGACTCTGCATCCGATTCCCCGCAGCACACATTCATAGAATTCGGCTTCCGAGGGTTTAATGCGTATTTGCTAATACATGTACAATTTCCGTTTAATCCTTAACGTGATATGCATTCAGTGAACCTTTACTCGTAGCATCATTCGAACACTCGTTGCCCATCGTATATATATCAAAAATATTTATAATATATATTGAATAATACATTACCTCGGCATAATACTTATCCACCCCGACCTCGCGTAGCGCTTTCGACAAGTCCTTCACGTCGATTTTCCCCTTCCCGTCCAAATCCAATTTCTGAAATATCTTCTCCAGCCGGTTTTCGTCTTCGGCTGGCAACTCGTGTAGATAATGCGGTGGCATAACGCCATGCACACTACTTCCTCGATTACCGGGCATGCTTCTGTCACTTCCTACTTTGGGCAAACGTGTCGAAGAATTCTTCTAGCGCGTTGTATTATTGTCACGCACGTCACCGTTACTTTTTCGTCGCTTTACTTTCTTATTTCTCGCGGCTACACGTCTCGGGAACCACTAAGCGCCTTTCTACACGATCGTCGATTCGATCGTAAAACAAACTTACCAGAGAACACATAACTGCACCACACACGTGGCTCGTAGGCAGGCGTACATCGATACCCTCGATAATTCACACCGTTCCCTGCAAAACCGAACGACGCAGTCCTGGCGTGGGGCCGTCACGTCCCGACGCGTTATCACTGAACACTCGACCGCCACGGGAATCGATGTCGACCAAGGGAAAGGACACGGGACTCCACACCCTTTTCAGCAGTACGAATCCACCCAGATCAATTGTATATTCGACGCACAACGAACGACCCGTCCTACCTTCGGCCCCGTGTTCGGTACCGAACAACCGTTTCCGCACAACTGGATTGCCCGGGGCAATTTGCCCCTGGAGAGTGTCCTGCTTCGTGCATGAATTCTGATGATCAGCGCCATCTAACGGCGAATTTCGGGAGCACTTCGTGAATACCGACGGCGTCCCGGTCGATAAGAAAATTTTGTTAACACACGAATATGAAACCGGAGGAAAATAGTTGGCGCCGAATATTAGTGTTTCTTAACTTAACAATTTATATGTTAAAAAATTGCCACCAATCTGCTCCCTCGGAATCTATAATTGCTCCCATCGCACCGTTTATATTTAATGAGGTATTCGCAAATGAAATAGCAAAAATTTGTTGTTTGCAAAATAGATAGTAAATGGTGTTTTTATAGAAATATTATGGTACCAAAAAATGGCTCCTGAACTGTTTTATAACAATCAATAATTAGATATCTCAATAACAACTTATTAATAAGCAGCAATTGAAATAATGTTGTTGCATACAGGTTAGGTATACGTCATACGATAGGCGCTCGTTTATTGCAGCCTTCGGGGCTGTCGAGGGCCAGAATTCCAGGAATATTGCAATATCTCATTAAATATAAACGTTGTGATGGGAGCAATTTTTTAAGATATAAATTGTTAAGAAACACTAATATTTGGCGCATACTATTCTCCAGTGAATATGAACGTTATTGAAAACACTTTCAGTCAAACAAAAATTATACCTATACTTGTTTTGTCTTATTATCTTAGGTAATATTATTTCAGTAATAATGCATTTGGTAGGTAGAATACTTTCATAATTTATTATTTTACACCGACCAGACCTGGGATACGTTACACATTAAATATTTGAACAATGAGTTCAGTTGACAGCTACTGGTTTAAATAAGTGATCTCTCGATTTATTACTTCCTATTCGTTCTGAAGTCACCAAAACTGTCAACTAAAAGAAGTTATATTCCTGCACAGAACTTCTTCTTTATTAGATATAAAGTTAAATACGAATAATAAGAGAAGTTTGTCTGGTCATTCGAGGTTTAATTAGATTGAAATTTTATTCATTGTTGACTCAACAATACCCCAATAAAAAAAAAGGGTGTAAACGAAAGAATTCCAGTGCGCAGCAGAATAATTCCAATATATTATTGCAAACAGTTTAAAATTTATTTGAACCGAAACTGAACAAATTAGAAGAGTCTAGAACGGAAGATTCACAAAAAAAGTACTTGTTGAATAGATAAATATATTACACTTTCACTTACAGTACAATTGTTAGAAAATACATTTAAACTTTCGTGGATTCTCATAGATTATATAAAACATTCGAAGAGTTTTATCTCGATATTTATGCAGCCGTTACCTTTCATTAAGTGTTTCTTTCTATTGTCGAAGCGTTCGTATCCAAAAATGTTCGTTTTATCCGGGTGCTAGCGTGCCACTGATAAAACGAATTAACTTAGCAAAACGTATCGTCTCTTAAGGTAGTGTTCTCGACACGATGGGTGGTCAAATAACGTGTACGAAAAATTAAATCTACAATTGTACCAACTCGACGATTTAAATTCTCCTCTATTGGTTAAATAGAATCGGGATAATAAAAAGTTCCACTACACGAACGTACCACAATTTTACGTTATTATAATGCGACTTTTTCCATAGTTATTTATTTTAGAAAAATACATTAAAAATGCCAGACTAACAATTACATTAAACGTAACGGGCACTGCGAACACGTGACATTTTTATCCGGACACTGACAAGATGTACTATTTAAAATTTAATCGAACGAAAAATTTGAACGAGTGTTTTCATCTCACATATCCATACAAGCCTGATGACGTTTTCTCACGGCGTTGAGAACATTATTCGAATATGTGTTATGTAAATGCATTGCCCATTATGTTTACGGCTAATGTAACAAAAATCTTACAATTGCGAATTAATTTAACGTAAATGTCACAGAAGTACCATCTCTCGTACTGTTAAGTGCCAAGTGCGCGCTGACTATATGCATTATATACCGATATGTATATAATAATTATTGTTTTTCATTTATGTTCAAACAAAGAACGTTAATATAGATTGTTATGTGGCTTCATACCATTTAACATAGGTACGCGTGTATTATTATACACATAGTGACATGTTTAACATGCAATTAATCTGAAGCTTGCACAAACAGTATTGTTGCGCTTATTACTTCCCAGTGTACACAGCCCTCTTCGCTTTTTACTCTACATTTATTAACGAGTCGTACTATGAATAAAAACAAAGAAAATGTGACGTATATCGAAGGGCAACATCTGACGAATGGATCACTAGAAAGATTACTGGACACATAATTCCTTTAAACGACAGATACATATTTAAAGTGTACAAGGCTTTTCTTTTCTCTCAGTCGAACGTATAAAGGAATTACACGCGGTGTATGGTTTTCGAACGTAGTTCAAAAACAGTAGCTTATGGAAATTAAGAATTTCATAAATATATATAGATATAGATATAGATATAGATATATGTAACTAAAATGTCCTTTAATGTAATCAGAATAGAACATATACGTAAACGTAAATTCTTCTGTCCAAATAGTTTCTTATACATTACGGACACATACAAATGGTAATTGTCACCGAACTTGTTAAAAATCATCAGAGTTTGATTTGCAATCATTGTGGGGATATAATAAAGAAACATTCTAAGTCGTGATTTAAAATGTAAAGGCTAATCTTCATGTAAAAAGTACATTTCCCATCGTTCTGTTTCAGATGAAAAATCAAAAAGGTGCCCCCCCCCCCTTTCCTGCAATATTGTCACACATTGTCTACAATATCGCGGCCAATTCGTGATGCTTGTAACCTTAACATAATCGTATAGTGATTGCAAATGAAATTCTCATAATCGCAATAGAAAATTTGTACTACATAAATTTTAAAGTCTTTATAAGTTTTATCTGTGAAATCAGTAACAAAATAAATAAAGTTTCTAACATACTTCTCAAAATACATAAATATAGCTTTGAATCTAGACATAATTAACACCAATGTCGTCTCCAATCGTAGAACAAATTGCGTTTGCATGTTTCGTACTTTTAGATCTGTAATGGAAGCAATTTTCTCTCACATAGGTACTAAAATCAATTCGTTCGCATATCAAAATCTTGTTTGTTACTCCATGTAACTGACAGTAACGTTGATTGTGAATTAAGAAACATGATTTTATATTGCTGGAGCAGAACCAAAGTGATTTTTTCTCACAATTTTTGTTTCATTTTCCCCCCCCCCCCCATATGATGGTATTCCATTACAAATGAAAGAAAACTGTATCGGTAAACAAATAAAAACAAATAAAATTGCACGATATTTCATCATTTTTGTAGACAACTAGTTATGTTCTGGGATTACGTTTCTTTCCAGTTCAGAATAATGTGCCTCGTGTATTGCAGAACTTCAAAAATGATAGAGAACAGAAGCTAATGCGTGCAATTGTAAAAACGTTTCATTCAGCTTTTTATATGTTACTGCATGGTTCGAAAGGCACATTTCAGGTTGAAAGAAAACTTCTACTTGAACATATCTAGTTTCGTATAGCGAAGATAAAACAATATTTTCTTTTTTCTTTTCTTTTTTTTTAATGAAAAAGACAGAAAGATCAACTTTCTTTTTGATCTCTAAGGTCTCGTAAAAGTCTATAATGTCACTTCCACTAAAACTGGAATCATTAATATTTACGCTATATATTATATCATAAAAAAAAAACAGAAGAACCCAAAAGTTATTGCAATCCGTAAATCACTATAGTATAAAGAGGCTGTCACTTGATTAACGTATTCGATTCGACAAAAAATTTTCCGTCGTCGCATTCCAATGAGATACAATTCAAATTAAATCGAGCTCGATATTAACTTCCAACAACGGGCGGGAAAATTATTTGAATCGATAGATGGTTGTATGAAATGCAAGACAAAAAATAGAAGAAGAAGAAGAAATGATCAAAAGCGTAAACTTCTTATCAGTAGAATCAAGTACATATGTTGTCATATTTTTGTCCTGAGGAACGTTATAAATTCAACCTTTTTTTTCTTCTTATAATACAAGTGAGAACAAAAATAAGAAAACAAGATAAGTATACCAATTGTGTTAACATAAAATTGCGTTTATCGTTAAGAAATGAAAGTGATAGTTAAGAGGAAGCCAATGTGACTGTTTCTCGGTTTCTCGTAAGTCCGTAAATCGAACACCTTTACAAACGTGAGAGCTGCAGCTCGCATAACAGTCTGTCCGTTTCGATTCCGTTCACCTTTTAGTAAAAAATAAGTTTTCAGCCAATGACTTTCAAATCGTAAACGTTGAAAATTTATAGAAATGCGAATGGAAATAATTAGCGAAGCAATTTGGATGTAACACTTCTTGACAAACAATAAAGCAAAATAATACATAGGTCATCTGTGAAGGATTTATAGTTTGAAAACCACTGTCTCAAATTTATTCAATTTTGTAATAGAAATAGTAAATAAAATGCAATATTGTATTTTAATCAGGCACGAATGGAATCCAGTGATAATTTTTCACTAAACACTGTTTAAAAGAAGGAAGATTCTTTTTCATACACGCTATCAAATATTCCTCGAATTTTTAAGTATTTGAAACTATAATAGTTTGTCCTTAAAATACAAAACAAGAGGCTCTCCGGCATTGATTATTTATCTAAGTAAGTAATACATTCTTCTTCAATTTTACAAAATGAAATCACAGAGTCAGATAAACATATTGAATCTTTTTCTATTCATGGTCTCGTTTAAATATTAAGTTTGAAGAAACGTAATATCCGAATTAAAAATTCAAACGAAACGGAATTTATGTAAAATTACATTGGTAAAAGCAAAAGTAACGTTTTATGCAAGAGTTTGAACGAAACACGTTCACGAACCGTACTCTAATTACCGTATTTTACTCGAGAACATATTTTCAAATATGAAAACATGAACTGCGAAACGTAACGCTAGTAAGAAAGCTACGTAAAATTTAAAAAATTTTCTTTTATAAGCTAAAAATCAAAAAATTTTTAACAGAATATGTTAATTTTGTATTTACGCGTAACGCCTATATGTATCTCGTAATATTTTTATCGTGTAACCTCGTTGCAGGTTAAATAGCATTCTTTCCGAATGTATCAGTAATATAATATCCTTTGCTTCATTGTGCAAACATACAAACAAAATATACTACATCCTGTCATGTTTATAAAACACTGACAATTAATTTCTGTTAAATTTTAACAAATCTGCTTCTCATCTGTACGCGAACTGTTTGTCAATTACTGTTCCCGTTATGACACCTATCATAACGGAACACCGATCAACCCTTCACCGGTTCTATAAATGTAAATCCCAATGCGCGGCAGCTAACTCTCACACTTCTTACAATATATCGATCTCTATAATAAATTGCTACTGTAGCTAATAAACATAGAAAACGTTTGCGACTTCCTGCATAACTAAATCATCAATTACCATTATGAAGGACTTGACAAATTGCGTTTAACGAATCCTTTCGAAATATCACATATTTACAGCTAGTTTCATTCTACACGTTGGTAATCATTTTTAGAAGATAGTACATGTCCACGGTCAACGAACGCATACTATACGTATTTACCAGGAGACTTTGTAAAGGCATAGTACATGGGAAAGTAGTGAAATCCACTTTTATGTCATGCTATACCAACAGGAGAATTTTCATGAAGTTGAGAAGAGGGGATGATAAGTTTCTTTTCTGTACATCTATCAATAGTGCTTAAACTGTCATCGTCCAGTACCGATTTCTTTTTTTTTCCTTTTGATTGTATTCAGGGAGAGCGTTAAATTCTTTCTTTGCAAATAGTACAAATTCTATTTTTACTTTCAGTCGTTCCATTGGAAAAGTTGTGTATCATGCCGATGCATGGAAGTTTGCACAAAAAAATTACTTTTGCACATGTCAAAAAAACATGTCGCCATTAAACGGATCAGGTCAGATCTAAGAAGTAAAGTGGGGGTTAGTAAGACTCACATCTCACTATTATTTTTTAGAATTGTCCTCTTCGCTCGACCAATGCTTTTCTTGTTCTTGCAGTTCAAACTCCCATCGTAATTCTAACTCCCGCATATCATTCGCAATACCAGCCTCGTATGTGTCCTCCTAAAGGGTCAAGTAAATCAAATATATGTTACATGCACACTGTCAATAATAAGTATTACAGGAATTCACTATGAATTTTTATTTTTACAAGATACCATAATAGAGCGATTTTCTTTTTACCTCTTCTGTCTTGTAATCTTGACTGTAATTTTGAGTGCCAAGTAAATTGTTCGACGACTGAATCCACGGTACAGTACCGTAAGGGCTCCAATTTCGCACATCTTTTTCTTTGTCTCTAATACCAGCTTCAATCATTTGCAGCTCTTGCGCTAGCCTTTCTCCTGCGGTGAATGTAGCTCCTTGTGTAGCAAGCTGCACGTATTTTATTCGAATTAGTATTAACACGCACAAAAAAACTTGACAAATGTAAAATATGTCCCACGATTCACCGGTCAAGCTGCATAAATATACTTCACTCGTATTTTAATAAACACAAAGACCACTGGTTTGTTTCAGATTACGTACTTTTATTACGACTTTTTACGTATGTTTCTTTACAAAACATATTGCTGTAAGTTCGACTAGAAAATCGTAAGACGAATTTATATAGACTTCACCGTACCTTCAAATCATTGATTTTCTTTTCAAGATGTTTTAACTGTTGCTTCACTCTTTGCGACTCGAGAATTAAGCTGAAACGTTAGATCATGATTAAATAACTAATCTATTCACTACGGGTACATTTGGTACAAAAAGCATTCGCTTTACACGGGACGAGGCAGTTATAAAGTAAATTATATATACTCTATGGTCATGAATACATGCTTCTCATAAATAGTGTCCCGAAATAGAAAATTTGAAATAACTTTTTCCGTAGCAAAAATGTTATTCGAGGCTTTGTTAACGAGATATTAACGAAAAACCTCGACCAATCAGAGCTCGCCCGGCAGACTCGCGCTCTGGGTGGTTGGGATTTTTCATTAATATCTCGTTAACAAGGTTGATTCAAATTATCCCAGGAACCCCTCATCTCCGGGAGTCGAAGCTATTTTGGGACATCCTGTGTACGCGTTTTTCTCGAAGGTTAAAAAAAAAAACAAGCCATTGATTAATCAACGTACTCTTTAGACACGCACTCTGGCCGTGAAAGTTGTGGGTGTGCAGTCGAGTCGGACAAATTGCGACCAAAAGTGATATAATTGTCTCCATAACCGGAAGTATTGATAGACTGTACTCCTCCATTCCCACCAATAGCAGTATAAGCTGTAATAAACAATTTCTCAATTATATAAGACGACAAATCGACGTCTTACGTTTAAAAAAAAAAAAAGAAAATACTTTTCATGATATAAATTTTATTAGTTTCTCATTTCATATCAAACTGTACTTACGTTGATTACCGTAATACCAAGATGTGATCGAATTCGCCGTCGGCATGGGTCGATACGGAGATATTGTGGGAGGTGCACTTCCTTCCGCATAAAAATTAGAAGGCTGCACACCGTTACTGGACCTAGAAAAGAAAAAGATTGTATTTGACTCGTGTAACGTCACTTTGTATGAATGTAACAATTCACCGAAAGTGATCTCGTTACCTCATTAAATTCTTGGACAACTTGGATATTGGTCCGTATTTGTTACTGGACGAAGCATCAAACGGTACGAATTCATCATCGAATAAAATCGGATCCGTGCACCGGAAATTGCTGTTACAGTTCATGTTCGACGGAGGAACCATGAGATTGCTCGATGTATTCGTCCATATAGAGAAGTTACACGATAGCGTATCTCTTTGCATGTCGTAATTCTGTAAATAAAGTAAAAACAAGTCTCATGAAGGACAGACATAGACGGATATTTGTAATAAATTGTAATTAATGGAACGGCCGTACCGTTTTTATCTGCGGCACTTGTTTGTTGACAATTGTTTCGAGCTGATTTAAAATTTCCATTCTGCGTTGCAGCAACATCGCCAATGTCTTGGCAACTGTCCGTTGCTATAACGTAAATATACAATATTGCTACAATATATTCTATGCGTATACACTTAAGTATCAGTTTTCTTTATCGAATAAAGAAAAAACTCTAAATTTACTTTACCTTTTTAGCATTGGAAACCCCATTCGTTACGTTCGATGATACTTGCGACGAATCCCACATGTTCAGGTTAGGTGTAGTATACTCAACAGGTGCATTAGGCATGATATAATGAGAGCAATACATATCCATATTTTTATTCGGTAGCACCGACGACACCCCTTGCTGAGGTGGTAGCATGTAATTCGCCAACGAGCCAACAAAGTTGTTTTCGCTCGACGAAGTGTGATGTTGCACTGGATTAACTTTATTCATAGAACTGAAATCTACAAAGAAATTACAATTATAATTTATCTCATTCAACCGTTACGTATTATTCGTTTTTAGTATCGCTTACTCTCTCTATGCGTATTATCATGTGACTTTATGGAATGATAGGATATATCTTCATTTTGCTTGAACGTCTTATTATTCGAGGCAGTAACTGATTTGTCCACCTTTACATCAGAATTATTAGTCGCTGGCATACTTGATCTGATACTTAATTTTCTATTTTTGGATCTGTATCTATGAAATAGAGAAGGATTACATATTAAACGGGTAACAGGCATAACTAATATTCTCTCTTTGTGAATTCAACTTACTTGTCCAATTCCATATCGCTGTGAGCAAATGTGCAACTTGTAGATCTGGGACAAGATCCTCTGAGCGCGAGATCTCGACACATGCTCACTTTATATTTCGGTTGACCTGGGCCTACGTTGTGTGTACCATCCTGTGTTTTTCGATTACCGTGTTGCTGAATGAATTCCACCAGCGCTGCGACTACTGTCCTGACAGCTTCTAACGCTGCACGACATTCCGCCAGCGTGGGAGGTTCGGATTCTACGACGAAGAGAACGAATTAATATGAACAATTTCAAACGTTCGCTAAATAGATTTTACATAGGATTAAACTGTACCTGGACTCGGATCTATTGCGGCTAACAGTTCTAATTGGGGTCTTAGACTACTTAATTGTCCGGGATCGGGGGTACGTTGAAGAGCGATCACCAATTCTTGTACACTTTGAGCAAAAGACTGTGGAGTTTGAAGTTTGTCTATAATACTTTGCATATGAGATTTATGGCTCGTGTCTCCGTATAACAACGCAGACCATTGATCGGGTGCTATTCTTAAGCCGGCTTCAGTCGCGATTTGCACAATCTGAGCATCGTGCTCCCTTCTTAAAGCCTCGTACGTTCGGAACTCTTCTTTCAGTTGCATCAACGACGAATCACCTTCTCGTTTAGATACCTGATTTGAGACACTGATCAAAATCTGTTCGAACGTTTTCACTTACGACAACGAAATACGAACATTACCTTGAAACAACTCGCCCTATATAACAATTGTACAACATGTCCTATACTCGTTTTGGATGCTTGAGGAAAATGTGATTCTAAACGTTGAACTACGAACATGACCAATACCTTCCTGGAAAGAGCCGATCCATCCTCCAAAGCCAATAGAACAAGCTTCAGTACTTCTTCTTGCATCGCTATTAATAAATCGAGGAATTTCAGTTAAATATATGCCAATTCTATTAAACTGAATTTGTATATTCATTAATTTTAATGTAAAATACCTGGCCCAAGAAATTGACAGCCACGCGCACGTACAGCCGCCCATAAGTTAGCGCTAAGCTGTTGCGGATTTTGGTGTTGCAATATCAACTCGGTAACCGACCTTTCCCCTAAACTTCTAGCTGCTCTAACTGCCCGCGCTCTTCCTTCTGGCACAACCAATTGACAGCCCACAAGAGTTACTAGTTTCCTTTGCATTGGCCGGGAAATCAGTCCCATACCTCCTGCAATATTTATTAAAATCTAGTCTTAAACTACTACCATCGAACAGCTGCAGTCATTATTACATCGAAAAGCAGCATTTTAGAAAGCATAGACTTTTAATTACTGATTTTTCTATAGTTAACAATGCTACTATTTATTTTTCACTAGGAAAAAATTGCTAAATTCATTATGAAGATAATAACAAATGCTGAAATGTAAGCGAACAATCCGATATTGCAATAGTCAAAGGATAAACTTTGATCATATTCTTCAGAGGTAAAACAAGAAGTATCGACATTCGATACCAACATCAAATACAGATACAAGTTAAAAAGATTAATCCTGCAACAACTCCTTGAAATAGAGATTTAATATTAAAGATCTACAACTTCTTTACATGCTCTTTGGGTATTTTAATAGTAATGGATTCAGTATCACCTTGCTCATTAACAGTAATAAACAATACAACACGTCTACACGTTCCAATTAATATTACCTGTAGCTAGAGTAGGATTTGTCTGACATGGTTTGAGATATAAAGCAAGTTCCTCAATGCAACATTTAGCAGCCAAATAATTAGCATGGTCTTCAGGTGGTAATAGTTTCTGATAAGCTGTTGCAACATTTGTGGGAACTGCATTTCCCACTAATTGCAATAAAGCCTCATTTACTGGTAGTCTCTCTATTTCTGTATTAATAATACTCTGGAAAAAAAATACAAATGACAGTTTGTTTTCCCATATACGAAATAAATATACAAATTACTTCGAGTCAATGTATCAATATTATAGAAACTCATGGAATACTCATATCACATACCTGATCGAAAGGACATTGTTTACGATGTAAATTTGCAAGGCACGTACGACATATAGTATGACCACATGCTAATGATATCGGGCCACGTACGGCCACATCAAAATCATGACAGCAAACTGGACAAGAAAGAAATTCAGTCCACTGTGGTGCCTGTATTGGCATTCTAAAACAAACCCACAGAATGATGTTCCTTCAAATTTTTTGATTTCACAATTCTCTGCAATATTGCTCTCCTCACCAACAATTATCAGAGAATCTCAACGGTTAAAGCTGAAAACGTTGGTGCACAATTTCACAGAACGTTCCGCTTATGATTGTCCTAAAGCTCGTAATACGTAAACGATTCGTAAGGATTGTCTATTGCGCGGGTTGAAATTATGGAAAGTATAACACGCAATAAAATCGTGGCATCTTCGCGGAAGGAAAAACAGCCGTTAAATTTACTAAATAATCACGACAGGTTCATGAACATTTACAGAAGTGTTCAGAGAACGTCGAGGATACTTCGTTTTCATTGCAAAACAATTTATTGATAGACACAAAACCTGTTCGGAACGGTAACTTTTGTCCGTCGATTGTTTTTCACACGTCGAACATTGTCTTTCGTTTGATTTCACCAATAAGAAAACTCGATCGGAATTAGAATTAAATACGCGTGGAAACGTTTCGAACGTACGTCGTCGAAATCCACACGCAGTTAGATCGAACGTTTTTCAATTATCGGTGTCCTTTTTACGTTCATCGAAACGTCTGTTCTGGACAGAATCGTGAAAACGGCATCCGCGTTCGCCACGAGGAAAAATGTCGGGGTGAAATTTTATTGTTTAAATTCTACTGATGATTGGGACTCACCTCGTTATTGCCTTCACAAAACATCACATTCACTACTCGGTTACTTCGCACATAGTTCTGCCATCGAAGCCAGAACAGATGAATCACAAATAGTAAGATGAGCTCAGCACGATATCCTTTACGCACACCTTTTTACATCACTGGCACCCATGACGAAAACAATCTAGAAAAATGGTGTTTCAACACTTTCCTCGGCAGAGTGCGTTGTTACGTACTTGACTGGTTGATATTTAACTTTTTAAATTTGATAAAATGATCGTCACAGAAATTATAATTGAAATATTGAAATTTAAGCCAAAGTACATCGTCGATGGTCAGAATAATTGCCCAAGTCAATCCGATGAAGCAAAAATTACCGGTCGAAATCGATGTATTTATGTTAACATTAATAATTATTAATAGATAATTTTAATCTCTAAATGAATTGATAATAAAAAGAAGTTCGAATAAATAAGTATATTAACAAAATTGACTTATTTATTCGAAATTGTTGAATTAGAGATTTCCAAGGATTTAACGAATCGAACAAATGAAGTAAAAAATGATAACTGGCACCGATTGGTCGTTGCATTAAATATTTTTGCATCTGGTTTCGATACTCCTGTTTGAGTTTCGTTTCTATGAAATTTGTAAATATGTGATTTATTTCGCAAACTTTACTTGACTTTACTGCCTGATAATATGATACCTCTAATTATTCAGTCTCGGAGTGGAAAAGATATAAGTAGATGGTTATGAACTGTGTTTGACTCGGTGCTCACGCTCATGGATGAATGGTCTGAGCTTCATCGTACCGGTTGAAACTTAACTGTACCCCTTAATCAAAATTATTAAGTAAACAACACGTTAAAAGCCTTAGTGTTTAGGCAAAGTTAAATTCTAATTGAATATGATACCTTCAAACGAGGAGCAAATACCGTTCGGTATCTCTGGTCGTGTACTGCTTAATTTCATTTCACATCCTTTCGAATACGCGAAAGTTTTAATACAGGTAACATATGCATTTGTTAATGAACTTCCTGGACATTGAAAATGATCGAAAACATATATTTATTTATAACAGATTGGACATGAACCGATTTTACCACGACCGACAACCACATTTTTTAGACAGCCGGCTTTGGCTCTGCCTAATGTTTTCCAATACGGTAAATAATTTTCTTCGTGAAATCTTAGTCTCAATGAAATATAGATTATTTTCTCATTTGGAATGTTTTTCATACTCTTTAATCTTTCCTATAACTTACACAAAGTATTTCTATTTCATTCTTTTCCAGTGAAACACATAAAGTCTATAGATGGAATTCCTGGGTGTTATCGTGGTGTTATCCCAAAAATGTGTGCATTTACTGTAAGTTCTATAGCTTTCGATAAAACATCTAACTGTGTCAAAAAGGTAATAGATAAAATGGAAGAAGAATCAAAAGACTCTACAAGGGATCAGTCAGAAGAAGAGTAGGTCTATAGTGAGGAGCAAAATCAAACCAATAAAAGTGCTTGTTTTAGAAAAAAATTATGGGAAATTACAGAGGGTATACCAATTGTAACAAGTAACATCATTTACTAATATATTAGGAATCACAAATGTACAGCAAAAAGTATCTTAAATTTGATGGAATCACAATCATTTCAAGTTGTTTATGGGCAATATTTAAAAAAAGAAAACAGAGTCAAGATAAATGATTAGATAATATTTAGATTAATTATGGAAAAGAATCCTAGAACAGTAGAATTTAGTTTCTAAAAAATAATGTAAAAATTTAGTCGACGCAATGTCAAAATTAATTATAACTGCTAAAGACCTATGAACAGAATATTAAATTCATTCCAGGTTGCAAAATCAAGTAAAGAATAAAACCTTGTAATCGGCAAAGTATTTGGGATAAAATAAAATTATTACATAGTCATTAAAGTACTTAACACATGTCATACATTTTTGTTAAATCCTATGTCAGTATATAAATAAATTCTATATTTTCTAGAAATGCACTTTTACTGGTTCAATTTTGTTACGAGTATGACAAAATTTGATATTGAGTGTATGAGAAACATTCTAGATGCAATTGATGGGTTTCTTTTTTTCTTTTCTAGTCAGAAGTGTAAGATATTCATATATGACCTCATTCGAGATCTGATTAGTAGGATGGTTGCAATTATAGTCAGTCATCCGTTAGACGTGATTGCAGTGAGGATGATGGCACAGTTCGTTGGCAAGGAAACACAATACAAGTATACTGTTGATTAAACCACACATGACATACCACATTTGGTACTAACAGAGCTGGATAAAATTTGGGGAAAAAATATTTTAAATAATATTGTAAATAGTAACGTGTAATATTTTTAAATACTATTTTAAAAAGTGAATGCAACCAAAAAAAACTATTTTATGTCCATACTTATACGCAGAATTGAAAATAAAATAGATTATTTACCATTTAAAACATATATTTTATTCAGCTCTGGATATTAATTATAAATGCATTATTTCTAATAGCCTGTTTACTTTCTTTTCTAAATTCCTAGCGGATTATTCAGATCGGTTGTGGAAGTGTACAAAGAGAATGGTATTACGGGATACTATGCAGGGGTAGTGCCTCGCCTTATTGGAAATGCTGCCGCGATAATACTATTTAGTACTTCTAGTTATGTTATCGATAAATACATTCTAAATGATGAAGAGTCAAAACCTTATGTTGATACTGTCATAAGGGTAAGTGAATTAATTACTCGAATGCTATATGTACAAGGCAATAAAATTATACACCATTGTTTACTACATATACTTTCGCAGTTCATAACGACAACAGTCACGTACCCATTTTTGGTGGTATCGCATTGTATGGCCGTTAACGATTGCGGGTGAGTAAATTTTATATACGATCGATAATTTGCAATCTCCTTTGTAAGAATCACCGGAAATTTTAATACATTAAATTATGTTGCATTGAAGGTTAGCGGCTGGTCTCCCGCCACACATGCCAATTTATAACGACTGGAAAGATTGTTGGTCTCAGCTGTCAGCCACTAATCAGTTAAGGAGAGGAAACACCCTTTTATGGCGTTATTACAGCGGACAACAAATCATAATAAACGGGAAACCAACACACCTATTGCATTAATATATGTATTCGAGAGGCCAACAGTAAAATCAGTTTTGTGCTATATATTTTTTGTCCAGTAAATTTCTTATCATGGCACAATTGCATTTACATTGCATACTCCTTGAGAAATTAATTTTAACGACTGTTCCATTGAGAACTAATTACACACACACACACACACACACACACACACACACACACACACACACACACACACACACACACATTTTTGTTTTGTTTTATATTAAACAGAATATTTTGTGGATACCTAGAACTATAGCATTTTTTGTATGTAGTGTAGAAAATAAGGTCGCACTGTATACATAAACATTTAGTACACATATCAGTATTGCTGACAATGAGAAGTACCGTTTTGTTGTAATTTTAGTAATCCACATTTTTTTTTCACTGTACATTATTTATGTTCAAATTACTGTTTAAAGAGAGAATACAGTTTATAGTAATAAATAAAAGAAACGTTCATCCTAAATGCGTTTCTTTCGTGAAACTTAATATTCACAGTAAGTGTTGTCGATGAAAATGGCTAGAAAATGATTAAATTAATAGTAGACGATAGCCTATGTATCAAGAACGTATGATCGATACAAAGGTTTATACGGTGATAATATTTTCGTGGTATGCATACGTTCATATATGACGATGAATATGAACAACAGTAAAGTACAAGAAATATGAAATCAGTACCTATGATCATAGTGTTGTGGGTTGTTGCATTATATGTATAAATATTAAAGATAATTGTATAAAATTAATAACTAATAACTATGGTTAAAAACAACTGTGATGTTTGTGCAGTTCTTAAAATGTATATTTGAAATTTAATTGCTAGTTAAAGTGAAAGTCATTTAGTAAAAAACAGAATAAAACCTGTAATTTAACTAGATAATACAAACTGAAATTTATAAAAACGAAACAAATATTTCATGTATATTCTTTATTTACTATTTCGATGGTTTAAATCAATTTACAACATAGTTTACCAGGCATTACGAAGTTACACGAGTATTGCATCGTTAGACTGTGTCCGTCTTTCTAATGATCCCTACGAATAATACACAGAAGCCTATATACTATACGCATATTTTTTTTAATTCTTGTATAAAAAAAATATCCACTTGACCTACAATTTTAAATATTACACAGATGTTTCATCAGGTATTACATTTGAACTTCAATTTATCTATATAGTGCGACAAGACGAATGTGAATAATGAACAAAACAATCAATATGTTATTTTCAACGCAATACTTTTCTATTTTAAAAGAAACTTAAATAAGACCTTGTACTAAAAAGCAATTAAATACATGTAACTTTGCTTTGCTTTCCAAGTTAATAAAGGCAATTGTGATTCTTTTACCAATACACAATATGAAATTACCTTTACCACAGTTCAATCTAAAACAAATCACCTTAAATTTATTTAAAAGAAAAAGAAATGTATAGAAATAAAAACAATTACAGCTAATACAATTTGGTCAGAATATGGTAGTTTTTAGCTCCCTAAAACCTATTTCCCGCATCTACTATTTGTGTTATTTGAGTCAGTCAATTCGCCATTAACGTCGAAACAAAATTCATCTTCTTTGCTTTCTGAAGTAAAAATTAATTGCTTTCTGTTACAATTAACACTACACTATTAAAATAGTCTCTAGTATTTCATTACAAACAATTGTAAAAAATAATCGTAGGAAATTTAATCAATGTTTATACCAATTGTTTGCATCGTTCGTACCAACGAATAAATCATGTGGGAGCATTTGTGACGTTTCTAATTGGCAGATGTTTATATCTTAGGTTTTAATCAGATACGAAAGCTAATTATGTAAACGTGGTATTTAAGATACGTGTAAGCTTAAAAATTAACGAGCCGTTAACATATATTTTCAAACCCCTTAACATGATACAAAGGAATGTATGTTTTCAATGGACAAATTTACGTAATTCATTGAACTTGTATTCGATTCTTTCGTACCTTTGCAATTCCATGTTTGGCTTACAATGTTTAACGATGTATTTCGTGGTCTTGAATGTGTTCAGTGTCATGAAACCATAAGAAAGATTCACTATAGAACTATACATTGTATGTTTGAATTTCTTTACAATGGAATAAAGTTTCAAACCAGTAACATTTAATATTTATTTAACAAATATTACCGTACGGTATTAGACATAACAAATGATTGCTGTTAGGTTGAAAGTCATAAGTTTTGTATTCTATATACACAGAGGAATACTGTACGTTCAGGAATGTTTTGCAGAACCAATGAATTAAGAAACGTGTCTCAATTACAGTTACATTCCACCTAAAGCACTTTTTGTACATTTAAACAATAAATATGCAGCATATCAGAAGACTGTTCAATATTCACATTCCACGGCAAAAAGTCTGACGATGATTTATTTTCATTTTGGGAATCTCTTTCAAGCAATATGTAATGAAAGATATCCATTCTCTCCCTCTCTCTCTCTCTCTCTCTCACTTTATATACTACGTATATACAACAGTGTATATGTCTTTGATCTTTATAAAAAGAAACGAGACTTAAAATAAAAATTAAAAAAAAAAAGGACTAACAGTACTGTGGCAGTATAATACTTAAACATACTTACAGAATGTAACTTTTGGAGGATATGATTATTATTTTATAATAATCTACCAACTAAAATATTTCAGCTTTTACTATATCAAAATCGTATCAAATCATGTCACCCAACTTATAATTGATCCCAAAATAAGTGATTAACAAATCATCTTACATACTTCAACATTCCTAGAATAATACCGGTAATTTAAAAAAAAAATTGTAATCTGGCGATAATATCTGAAGACGAACAATTTCCGATCTTTTGTCACAATAAAATATAAGTTCCTGAATGATATAAGATTGTACAATGAAAGTAGTATAGAGTATACTGCTTTCGAAATTCACATGAAATTAATTCCACATGCAGTAACATTTTGTATTTTCATCTATTCGTAATCAGGTAGAGAAGACAATTTCATGGTTTTGTCTGTCTGTATGATAAGAGATATCTACGATGTAAGGTCGTTTACTTGTTAAATATCCCTAGAGTATGGAACTTTATGTCTACTCTTTAATGACGTATGCGACAATCATAGAAATTTTCTGAGAAATGTATACACAATACTGAAAATATATAATAATAACTATTCAAAAGATTCGTTCACGCTTATAATATTGTAACAAAAATATCGTTTGTAATATTATATTTACCATGGAAAATTGACTCATATTTGTATGTACGTATAATGGCCAATTTACGGTGCGTTCGAAAATATTTCATATCGTTTCGTTTTAAATGGAGAGATTTAGAAACACATCCTTCACAGAAATAATTTATACCGTTACGCTAAATGTTTATATATTCCTATTCGTTATGCTGTTATAATGCCTTACATACGTGTATATATTAATATTCATATAATACTTTAAATTTTCGTCGTTTCAGATGCTTGGCTAAATAGTATTAATTAATTTTAATATATATATGTATAATTCGTTCTCATTCTGCATAAAGTTCCATCATCTTATTCTTCTTCCAAGTACAATTTCGTACGATATAATTTGACACATGACAAATATTATGCAGTCAATTTTTATAATTAATCGATTAGAAACAAGGATACAGTTCGGTGTTTCATTGATCGTTAATCAGAGACAACGAACGAACGTGTAATTAAAATTCTCTATTGCAGAAGTCACGACTGTCTCTCTATTCTTTCTTTGAACATAAATTAGGCCATAGCGAATGTGTAAAGAGTACGTTTTCATTAAGCACGAACTGCTATAATTATTCGAGACTAGCGCACGTAACACATACACTGATTTATATTCGAACAAGAAATATCATGATATATCACGTTTATCATTAACTCCAGAATCGCTACTTTAAAGAAAACGGGCAACCATATTGTATTGCGCAGACGACGCTCCTGTTTCAATTATCATTTTCGCTAGTACTATGTGTATAATACAATGTAGGATTTAGAATTCCCACCATCTAAATCTGTGTTAAATACTAACGAGTACTCAGCTGATACAATCAGATTTTACTGAAACTTGGTACGTGTCTACATTCCCTCCTACCACTGTAGAATACATATTATTTATAAATACAGACGTTTCCATGACCTTGCGTATTTCTTAAATAACACACATGATTGTGACATACGATTAGGTACAATAGGCTTCTAGTATCTGAAAAACTCGAAATTACCTTAATGAACTTAACATTTTTCAAAAAAGCTTCCTCTAGTTTCTGATATTCTTTACTTAATAACAATTGCTCTTACAAACACGTTTAGAAATTTCTTTAACAGCTGAACGTCTCGAGAAGTAAAAAAAAATTATGTTCGATTATAACCAGGGACTTAAACCGGTATGATTTTGATACCGGTATTATGCCATCAAAGCTATACCGAAACCGATATATTACCCAAAACTGAAATAAATACTGATATTTTTTCGATTTCTATAAAGGTAGGGCTTATATAGGTCAAAGGTAAAATCGAAAATACCGGTATAATAAAGGTACAATCAGAATACCGGTAGAAGTCCCTGATTATAACCCATATACTGCCGGTCAAAAATATCTGGACACCCTCTTGAACGGAACAACTTTTCTAAAATGCATCCAAATGACTTGCGTTCTTTTGTGAAGTTGAGGGTATTAGTTTACTAAATGATGTGTAAAAACAAATTGAAAAAGTTGCAATTGGTCGGAATCGCGAAGAAAATAGTAAAGGTCGTTTTTACAACATATTAATCTGAGGCTACAATGAAAATTCAATAAATACATACCGAAGATTTATGTTAATTACATAGCAACTTTTTCAATTTTTTTACACATCATTTGCTAAATTAATATCCCCAACTTCACAAAAGGACTCAAGCAATTCGGACCAATTTTAAAAAAGTTGTTCCCTTTTAAAGGGTGTCCACATACTGTTGACCGGCAGTGTACGTACTCTACATTGGTGGAGGATTTCTACAATTCACAATCTGTCAATAAAATCTGAGTGTACCACTCGCGGGTTGTTCTCCTCACAAGTGTGTAATGTTGTTATGAACGGTTTCCATGAATTACATGGCTATACGAATGAACAGGTTATTTCAAGTCCAGTTCGATTTCCGGACTTTCCAATGAGAACGGTTTGAGATTCTCCACTATCGGCGTCTGATCGGGATCGACCCGTATACGAATCCTATTGGTCTCTAGGGACCGCGGAAGCGTACGTGGAAGATCGTCTTTGTACGAGCCGCACATTGGCGAACTGTACGGTACATAAATTCGCACAACGTCTGGACTCGGTTGATGCGGCGTCGCTCTAGGGGTGGGCAAACCACCGCTGCCAGAGCTAGCGTTCGAGATATTACTTTGAGTATCGAGGCTATTGTCTAACACTTGTGACCGTGTCGCCGAACTAAATACGGAAAGGTCGGCTGTCGAGGTAACAGACGTGTCTGCCAATGACCGCCGCGAGCCATTGGGAGAAGCTCCATCGTCAAGACTCGGGTCAAATGAGAATTTGCTTCCTGCACATATATTCAATTTTTTTATTACACTGCAATAGGATATTGGAACAAACGTGATTCCGACAGAGAATGATCTCGCAACAAGTGTAATACATTAAACTTAAAAAAAAAAAACTATCTCTGCCTCCCCACCAACCCCGTTGCACGAGTGTAAATGAACTAATATTACATACTGTTTCATAGCAAGTATTTAATGGCAACAAAAAGTGGCGAATTTTCCGGTTAAATGGTACTCTAACGTAACAAAAAAATATAATAAGTATCCACGAATGAAATATTCTGATACATGTTTCGACATTTGTGCCTTTCTACAGGAAATTTCTTAAGAATACTGCTTCAGAGAATGATCACAGTCTATTGCCTCTTGCTTTTATTCTATTTTGGACGAGAATTATCTAGGAAAATTCGTGGCACGAATTTTAGAGGATGCATAACTTCATTTTAAGCTAAATATGGTAATATTAAAGATCTATGTTTATAATAACGATTATAATACTTAAAAAAATCTCTTTCGTAGAGTATTCTTGTAAAGTTCTATCGAAATAACTGAGCAATATTGTACGTGATCGTTTTAATTACTAGAATCCTACTTTTTTAAAAAGTATCTTACAATCTAGTGTTGTATATAACCATTATATTGATCTCTGAATCTCTGTCTTTATCGTTCTTCGTGTCCTTAATGGTATTTTCTTGTTTAGAATGTGGAAGGCAAATATTTGTATCACCGTGTACTATGTTTTCATTATATTGTAACTCACCGCCAAGACCACAACCAGTTGGCTCGACTGGAGTTGTACTTTCTCTACCGTCTTCGGCGATCACCAAATCTCTACGCTGTGTTATGGACTCGCGCATTACGTGCTGCGCTTCACTGAATTCTTCGGTCCGTCTCCCAACCTGAAGACGATGGATCCAAATAGATTTTACACATTGTATGGTCATACCTGTATTTTCAAAATAATACGAAAATAAGCACAAATCACCTTGCTAGCAAATGAAGGCTCTTTGAAAGTGCCGAACGGAAATCGCGGTAACTCGTGTGGCAATGGTGGACCGGGGTAATCTAACTTAGAACGTTTCAATTCTTCCATACTACGTTCCATACTGCTTATCACTGTGTCATCGTCGAAACCAAAGTCCTTCTCCAATTTGATTTGCAGATAATTACAAAACTCATCCAGGCTTTCCATCGGCATCAGAAAACGTTTATGCATTTTCATAACTGTGTACGCCATAGCAGGTAGAATACGATCACCGTCCAATAAAAATATATCCCAAATTCGCAGGCCGAGACTGATGGGTGTCTGTTATGGTTAAAGAAAATTGTATTTAGCGATACTGCATAATCGTGAAGCATATTTTTTATCGATCTAATAATACGAAAAAACGAATAAATATTCCTTTACCCTCTCTTGGAAAACAACAAAGAACCATTTTAATGCGTACAGAATGGAATCGCAGCCGCACTTATCGAGTTTCCGTTTCAATTTTGGCAAAAATTTATGCATAATTTTATCGTGGTGTTCGATGAAACGATTCAGTTTTGGAAACCCATCAACATAAAATCCTAAAAAGAGAATATATCTGGTTAATTGTAGTTCAAAAATGATAAAATTTCGAACATATAAAGTAACTTAAATCGGACCATGCATAGTGTATTTTTTGTCGGCCAGCAGCACAGAAAGGCCCCAAAACGCGTCCTCCTCATCCATATACAATAAAAGTAATCCAGCTAATACAGACATCCCCTGACAGTAGCCCACTTCCATATTGTACATGCTATAAGCAGCCAATACATAAAACATGGATCGCTGTTTTATGCTATACCTTTCTCTGTTAATTTGAAAAGAGATGTTTAATAGCATACAGATACATTTCATAGACGTTACAAAATATTTGGTACCCTTACAACAGATCCTAAATATAATTTAGATACCTATAATTGATATGATCCCTATATTGCCTAGCTACATCGGCATCGATCTGTCTTATTTCGGTGGACCACTGACGTGCAAGTTGCAACATTTCATTGTATTTACCAGCCTGTTCTTTCTTTAAATTTTTTATCCCCAGAAGTAATGCCCAAACTTGCCCGCGGAATCTATTAGGAATCCCTTTATATACTCTACGTCGTAATTTTTCTTTTGTCGAGGAACTGTCCCATTGTTTTGTCATTTTCTCCCACTTTTTCAATCTTTCCATTTCCACCCGATGACACTTGATTTCATTTGGGTCATGCCTCTGTGGTAGCCGTTTATCACTGAAATATAAATATTAGTGTAACGAAAAGCAATAATAACATTGTCCCCAAAAATATCAATACGACAGTTACTGTATAAATCCATATCTGTCTGTGGTATGGTAAACTTCATAGGTAGGATCTTCCCATGGATCAATTTCCGCTCCATTTTCTCTGCCACGGTCATAGCAGCTAAATATTCTATCTCGCTCTGCAGCAGACCGTTTCAATAATTCTTCCTCATTCATCCCCCGTGAGAATTCTCAACCAGACTCTTACAAACATGCCGTCTTGTTAAAAAGGTTCTATTTTTATGTTAGGCTGTTATCTACAACACGAATAACACCATCACTAAAATATTAATCAACATTTCTTTTCTTTTTTATATTCCAAGCAATCTTATAAATGTGATAAATGTCATCTGTGTTCTTTCTGACATTATGCTCACACTAAAAATATACACTGACTGGTCGTTATGATAGGACAGATAACAGTAGATTATGAGACAACTGTAATTTTTTGACACAAGACAGTGAAGTACTGAACATTTTCGGCTTGCACGGTAAAACTTGGATAGGGATATTGTGTTTTCGTTTATAGACTCGTAAGGAAGGTTGTTTTAATTCTGTATTGTAAATTCCCGACGTTCTAAAGTTAAAGCGCTACATATTGACAAGAAAGAAGGTTATATACATTAGAATTAAATGATATCCCTAGTAAATGATGTTGATCTTACCGCTAAGAAATGAACTGCGTGACTATTGACACTGCATGGCTAGGGAGCGACTAATTTTCTTCGTTTCATTATATATAGAACAACATTTCTTCACAACAATCATACATTTAGCAAAACTGCCGTCCATACATACCAGACACGCAATTCAAGCCGGATTCGGATGTTTCCATTCTCTTTTATGAATCAGCGTTGCCAACAGATTCATTGTGGAACCAAAACAAGTGGCCACAACTTGAAATAATTATTTTCTCTTTTATTGTAAACAAAAATTATAACTTCGAAATAGTTATTATTGTTTTCTTTATTATTTCGTCTATCATGAATATAGTTATTATATAAAATTTGTATGTTTCTATTGAAAATAATTCTAATCTTTTAATATAATTTATTACAAGTGAAAAATAAAAATATAATTTAAAAAAAAAAATTACAACCATGACCAACTGTTATTGCTGTATTTCATAGTCGTGCTTGAATGAAATTAAAACATTTCCGACAAATTATCTGTTCGTACATACAATTTAAAATCTTAAGTTTCATGAAAAAGATGAAATGAATCAAAGGAAAATATTTATTTATGTACGGAAATTATTTCGAAAATGTAAGAAATGCGTCATTGTTGCTCGACTTACGTTGATCAGTACTACCATCAATACTTATTATTGTACTACATACTAGGAATGTTATTAACTATTAATTTGGACAATATTGTTGACACGTGTTGTGCCTGGGACATTTCGCGTGACTTTCTGTTTATACCACGCGGGCTATCAATTACCCATAGCTGGACATACTATAAATATTTACAATCAACACCACGTGATATTTATAAAAGTGCAAATATTAACTTCATTAATGAAGAAGTACGCGATGTATAGAAATCGTTATCTCGCAGAACGAATACTTTCGTGGAATATTTAGAACTAATCCATATTAAGATGTATTATGTTAATAGTAAAATTTGTAAATGACTAAAACGTAAAGCTTATCGTGGATTACCTGTGATGCACTGGACATGAAATTTATTGTGTAAACAGTGTAAAGTCCACTGAATTCTTTAGCATCGAAAAACTTATACATATTCCGTGGTATTTTCACTGGTTATATTCTCCGCAGCAAGTGTTTAAATAGCAGAATATTGCATAGAACTGATAGTTTTCTGTTATAGCATACTGCAGGTGAAGGATTAATAAACATTTTCTGTAAGCAAAAGAATACGGAAACCGTAGTCAAAAAGTCTACGGACCTTTTTTCTGTTGTATAATTCCTATCCTTCTAGAACCCTGCGCTCTAACCCGTCATAAATGGTCAGAAATCTCTTAAATCTCTTAATCTAAAAAATCTAAAATTAAATAAAATATTTTTGTTCAATTATTTCAGGTACAAATGTTTCGGCAGTTGAAACAATGGATCTATTGCGCATGCCTAAACACGAAGGAGGGAAATAGACGGATCCGTAAACCCCCACTCCATTCTGTATCTACGAAGCTGTTTAGCAGTGGTTCTCATCTTACTATGTGTTAAAAAGTACATAAAAGTATTGAATAACGGATTCTGCAGTTCTTATTTACAAATATTTCAATGTTATATGCAATTCCGAATAAACACTAATATTATTGAGTATGAATCTACTTAGCTACAATTTGAATTACTCCAAAACCAATTGATTTTCACAATTTTTCCCTAACTAGAAAATTTTCTAAGGACATTCTTACAGAAACTAATAACTGCATAAATGCCAAACCCCAATACACCGGGAACGGTAAAAATGTAGGAAAGATTTTTGGTAAGAAGTTTTGTTTTCCGTTGTCCCCGAATCACAGACTAGTTTATGGTTTTTAAAGAAAAACCGAGATTGTTTCGTCGCCTCAAAAAATGTTGTGGCCCTGAAAAGGGCCATTTTGTTCTTCTTCAGTAATGTTCGTAATCTCTAAGCCTTCTTCTCGGTCTTCTTGGGCAGAAGCACTGCCTGAATATTGGGAAGAACACCTCCTTGAGCAATTGTGACACCGGAGAGAAGTTTGTTCAACTCCTCGTCGTTCCTGATTGCCAGTTGGAGATGCCTTGGAATGATCCTGGTCTTTTTGTTGTCACGCGCTGCGTTTCCCGCCAATTCCAGAACCTCAGCGGCCAGATACTCCATAACGGCGGCCAAATAAACAGGAGCCCCAGCGCCGACTCGTTCCGCGTAGTTTCCTTTTCTCAGAAGTCTGTGGATACGACCGACAGGAAACTGCAGTCCAGCTCTATTCGAGCGAGACTTTGATTTTCCTTTTGCTTTTCCTCCTTTACCACGGCCAGACATTGTGAAATGGTCACGTTAACAACAAAATACTAAACAACACTTGCAACCCGTTCGTCTGGACGATCGGAAAAGTATGCTGATTGTAACCATGAGCTTCCTATTTATATACCTAACGAAGTAGTTCGGTATCAACCAATGGGGAGCGCGCTCGATTCTGATTGGCGCGGGGGAACAGATGGTCGCATAGCTGGTTATTAGGTTCATTCTTTTACAATCACTGTAAATACTACATTTCTTTTTACATAACTGATTCTCAAATAATTTTGCAGCTTGATATGTAATCGTGCTAATTTTGTTTCGGTACCTTTTGACGGTACAGAATTAAACAAAGAAAAATGTATTTTTAATGAGTTAAATATGTCCAAACAATGCATACGGGTATTTAAGAACTATTGAACACTATAAAAGTAAACAGTGCAATCTTCAGATACAAATTCAATAACATAAGTTCTCAGATACATCATGAAATTGAATTGTGCTGCACCTTACTCGAGTATATAAAACACCTTATTATTAGACAACGGATGTTTATGCATTTATAGCGTCCCTTGACTTGCAAAATATAGCAAAATAAACATTCCGATTAAATATAATATTACTCACGAATTATTATTCACATATTAAAACCCCTAGTATAGAAAAGAAATTTTTATGCAATTTTGTTTTTTCTATATTAGTGTCGAAAATTTTAAATTTGCATAAACATTCACTGTCTACTCATTAAATTGTTACATTTGTTGCAACTAAAATTTTATCAATATCACTGTTTTTTCACCTATTACAACGACTCAAATGATTTGAAAGAAGAAAAATTGAAACCGCACTGTTTCGGTAGGAAAAAATGTAGTACATTAGAACTGACGTTAGTCGAAGGATAAGTACGTAGAAGATAGTGATCTCTACATAATACTAAACTGTATTGTACTTAATCATTTGTTAATAATTTGTTGTTTTGTTGAAACCGTTAGTTCCTACGTTTTCGAACGTGCTGGCCCCTAAAGGGGCCAATTACAAATTGCTCAATATCACGTTAATTACTATTTACTTATTCCATTAAACGTTCCAGACGCATTTAAAACGGTATGATTTATTTTTCATTGAAATCTTCGTGTGTATTTGCCATGTACAACGTGACCGCTTTCCTACCTTCGTTTACCGCGTGTCTCGCCAATTCTTGAGGTAACAACAATCTTAAGGCGGTTTGGATGTCGCGTGACGTAATTGTTTTCTTTTTATTGTAGAACAATAATTGACTTGCCTCGGCCATGATGCGCTCGAATACGTTATTGATGAAACCATTCATGATGTTCATCGCTTTGCTGGAGATACTGGTATCGGGATGCACTTGCTGCAGAACTTTGTAGATGTAAATAGCGTAGTTTTCCTTCCTCTTCTTCCTCTTATTCTTATCTGCCTTGTTAATGTTCTTCTGGGCGTTTTCAGCTTTCTTCACAGCTTTTCCACTTATTTTTGGCGGCATGATGACGTCAAGACGAACTGGAGAATAATCGAGATTTGAATGGAACTTCTGGTAAGACCAACAACTGCAGAATGTGACCGATATATTAAATGTTGTGTTCTAACGGAGGACGAAGTTCCGGGAATTTATACTCTAGAAATGCCCTCGGTATTTATACCGCGACCAGGTGTATACATATTTCAAATTTGTTTACCAAGGTTAAATGTAACCGGTGTCAGGTAACTGAAGAATATTACTTTATTCTTGTTAGGTCATTGTAAAAGTCTTCACGCTCTTATAATGTGCACGTTCAGTAGGTTTGTAACAAAATGATGCGAAAGTAAACGATATTAGTAAAGTTAGGAATAATGGTGATTGTATAATCGATTTAACTAAAAAGATCTTGTCAGTACTGTCGGGGTAAACTAATATTTTATTGATTTTTTCCGTAAGATTATATCACTTACTTTTTGAAGTAATTAAACAATTCTTCTTCTTTCATCGCTGATATTGATTAAATGTAATTCAAGAAAATAATACTTCTGAAGTTATTCGATAGATCTAATTTTGTATTAGCTTTCGCAGAGTTTTCGTGTACTCGTTGCTGGGACGAATAGTTACGCCCTGAAATGTAAACAGCTGTACGAATTTCCAGCGAAAGGGGAGCTACGGAAATGGCCAACATCTGGTTGTCTAACAAAGAAACATTCCTTTACGGGAAAAATTTCCATAAATTTCTTTAATTTACGTATATGTATAATGTTAAATACGGTTTATTTTGTAGTGGTTATACATGTCATAATATTTCAGCATAACCTTATACGTATTCTATCCGATTCTTTGTATTAATTTTTATTATGCATTAAATTTCCATAGAGGTGAAAGAGAACAAAATACAGTACTTATACTAAAACTGAAGTTACTATACTAATAATAGACTAAATTTCTATAAATTCCATTAAAAGGTCAAAAGAAGGAACTTTGTGCATCTATATTTTTTCATTCTTTCTGTGCAGTAAAGTCGCGTTTGAAGTGATGCTTGAATATTATAAACCATACTCTGCACATTGCAAATACCGACAAACCGGGAAAGTCGTTGTACATTACGATGGTATGTTAATTTTCTGCTATTTGAAAAAAAGCGATACGTAACTTGAAAAATGAATAGAACTCGAAGATACTCAAAAAGCATGAGACGCATCCAGAGAAATGTGCCCGTGCACGTTCTACGAAATCAATTCCATTGTTCGAGGGTAACGGTAGCACCGGCGCACCAATAGCGTCCGAGCAGACCCGTGCTGCGTTGTGATTGGTTCGCCGGAACTGCACCGTATGGGTATAAAGGGTCGGATTTTGTGGCGATTCACATTCTGCAGTTGTTGGTCTTACCAGAAGTTCCATTCGAACCACGATTATTCTCCAGTTCGTCTTGACGTCATCATGCCGCCAAAAGTAAGTGGAAAAGCTGTGAAGAAAGCTGGAAAGGCCCAGAAGAATATTAATAAGGCCGATAAGAAGAAGAGGAAGAAGAGGAAGGAAAGCTACGCTATTTACATCTACAAAGTTCTGAAGCAAGTGCATCCCGATACCGGTATCTCCAGCAAAGCGATGAGCATCATGAATAGTTTCGTCAATGACGTATTCGAGCGCATTGCAGCCGAAGCATCCAGATTGGCCCATTACAACAAACGTTCAACTATCACGTCTCGGGAGATTCAGACTGCTGTGAGACTCCTGCTGCCCGGTGAATTGGCTAAGCACGCAGTCAGCGAGGGTACCAAGGCGGTTACCAAATACACCAGCTCGAAATAAGCGAATGAATTACGCTCCAAATACAATCGGTCCTTTTCAGGGCCAACAAAAATATTTAAACGTTGGAACTATCTTGGAAAACTATTCATAATACCTTTTAATTTTTACTTCCTCCCAATTCCTGACTACCTTCCGAGTATAGGGTGTAGTAATGATACTCGTGCACTGTTTTTAGTTTAATTATGTGAACTGTTCCTTTGGGAAATTCTTTTTGGGTTGAAATTTATATTTATAGAAAGTACTTATTATATGTATAGAGTTTAACGATACTAATTTTGAGTTTCGGAATCGGTTCGTTGAAAAGGTGAAGTTTTTGGGATGTTTTGTAATCTTTATTGTGACAGTTACGGTGGGTATTGCATATGATTGGTTGTAGGAGGCATAGGAGCATCTTTCAGTTTAAATTTGTATATACAGTGGTTTGAGTTGTAGGTCTTCTGAATAATTAATACTATTATCCATGTTAGTTTGTGTTTCTTGTTTTTAAAGCATTATACAGATCTGGGTTTATTAGAGCCAGTTAAAAGAAAAAATACTGCTCAAAGCATTATACTGATTTAAGTTTAGTGGGTCACATCCCAGTCAACCAAACCTGCAAATCCATATTTTTTCCAATCCCTATTATAATGTTACATACTCGCATGGTTACAAGTTTGATGCAAGGTCTGCTATCAACAACTTTTACGGGGATTAGCAGCAAGTCTTGCAATTACACCTCGATTATAAATTGACCTAGGTTAGTTAGTCTGGGTTGTGTTGCAAGACTTGCTGCTAATTTGCTGCCAATTTGCTTCACCAATTTGTTTGCAAAACCCAAGTCAAATGCGGAAACAGATGACTATGGTTCTTTTTTTTGGCAAATTTTGTCATTATTTGCTGGTAATTGCTCGAAACTCGCATACAACTGATTATCAGGGGTTAAAGGTTAGAAAATACGTAAAATTTTCAGAGTCTAACTTTTTACTGGATAGATTCCTAAACTTAAAAATGATAATTTTCTATGTTGCTTGATACGTACTTCCAATCAATATAAATTTACAGTGAAAACAAGTTTCCCAGAGGCAAAGTTTACTTATAATATTTTATAAGAAAATGAAACAAGCATTTTGCTTGTCCTAATTTCTTATGAACTCTGCAGTACTTTTAAACATACGCTAAACACCGATTTAGCGATTAAAGTTACGTTAGGATAATTTCTGTTAAATGCACACAAAAATTAAAATAACCTTTTTTCTATAAAGCTTAACAATATCAGTAATATCATGTTGTTAATAGTATTATTTAATTTATAAAATTACTAGGAAAAGAATGTTTGAATTTAAAAGATTTATTGTAATATGAGTAAAACGTTTTTTTTTATTGTCTTATAAAATGTTTGCGCTAATGAAAAAGATCAAGCGTGTCGTAATTCGGATACATGATAGGTACTTTTATTATGAAACGAACAAACAGTGTATATAGTATAGAAAATATTTGAACAAATCGCGGTTCCATCTATTTACATTTCGTGTTCCTTCTCAATAAGGAGCACACCATGAAATCATTTGTTTTGTTCACTGATTTACATAATTTTATAACAGATTTGTCCATTCGATAAACAAGTGAAGTTGTTATTACATACGATTCAATACGCTCTGAATCGATCTGAGTTCCGTTATTAATTTTTGCCCATGAGGTTTATTGTACAATGTAGTTAAACACTTTGAAATAACGTCTTGACATTTGGTGATTATTTTCCGTCTGCAATGAAAACAATTATTTGAACATTGTGCAATACAACTTAATCTGATATATTAACAAGTAATTTACCGAATGAAGTTGTTCGTTATGTTAGAATGATGTATGAAGTAATTAACCAAATTTGCTGTCGACTGTATTAGATGGAACTCGTTTCCTTCGTTTAACCAAGTTCGAGTGTCTTTCCCAATCATTCTAAAAATTCATAAATAATGTAGGTGTCCTTTTAATCTTCTGATAAACAGTAAGTAAGAAGTTTAGTTGCTAATATATTTAGGTCTTACTTGTAAACATCCAAAAGATCCTCCATCGACACTCCTAATTGCAGAAATCCGGAAATGATCCTATCATTGGACACGTTTAATTTACACGCTTTTATTTCTAACTGCTTTATTAGGAAGTCTAAACAAATATTAAATAAACATATTTATTTATATTCTATTACTATCATTTATCTTTGAAATAAAGAAAAAAGTTTTATTATTACCAACTGGGAAGCAATGTGGCGATCCAGAGTATTCCTGTCCAAGGGATATAATTTTGCTCGTTAAAATTGCCATTTTGTCTTCTGCATTGGTCGCATCTTTCAATTCTACAAAACAGATCGTTTAATTCCAATACTATTTTTTCTAATATCTCCCAGACTAAAATATAAATACATGTACGTAATATAATATGAGTACCATTATTAATAATATTGGTCCAAATTTCTTGAATCAACATTGCATCTTGATGACCAGAGCAGTGAATAATGGCTAACTTGCATTCCCATAACTGCAGTGGGTCCGCATATTTTTCGTACAACTACAAATATTAATATAAATTAGTCAGAGAATCTTAAACGTCATGAAATTTCAACGTACTTTTGTAATGTCCAGCAAAGACGAATTTAATGCTCTAACGGCTTCTTCGCTCAACCGGTCAGCCAAATGTTGATTGCAAATGGTGTCTAGTATCTATAAAACGACAAAAGTGTACAAGTGTTTCCGAACGAACTGTTAACACGACGTTTAAAATATTTTTACCTGTTGCTGGATTCGAACCACTTCTACTTTATCCTCTAATTCGCGTAAGAAAATTCCAAGGTATGGAGCGTAGCCGGCCTGATCGCTTCGCATACAAACAACTGCACGGGCTAAGTATTCGACCCTTTGGGACAATGGTATATTCGATCTGTGCACAGAATGAGACATCTGACGTCAGTGACAACATTTCACCAAACCGTAAATCCAAACATTTTTGTGGAAAAAAAAGGAAGCTAAAAGACGTAATTATAGAGGTCGTCACAAGATTACAGATTTCTTATGAGATCGGTACTTCAATAGGGTTGAAACGATTTCCACAAAATGTTAAGCCTAGTTTCTGTCTTGTCTGTGATTGTACACCCACGAGCAAAATTGGATTCAATTAGGGGAAAACAGGGGCGTAAGAGAAAAACCTCCTACCACTTGGTAAATTTATTTCAAGTACTGAAATAAATATTAAATCGAATGTTAATTTGGCATAAATTTTAATAATTCCCGATACCAAACTTTAAGAGGCCCTTTTCCAACGTCACTTTTTCCCCTAGCGGAAGCCGAGTTTGCTCGTGAGGGTACGTACTCCTTGGTTGCCAGAGAATCCAAGATTTTAGCCGCGGCGGCATGGTTCTTGTTTCTTTCGTAAAATTGCCAGAGTAAGTCAGGTGCGTTGACGCGTGTAAGGTATGTCTCCAATGTCGGGGCTGCGAGAGCGACAAGTTCGCCGTGAAGCCTTCGTTCTATCATCCAAGCATACACTGAAGCGTGAAGGGTTTCACAAGGGGAATGCAATGCGTCGTTTATGACGTCGTATAACTGAAAGAAAGAAAACATTAATAAATGGGGGATGATACGAGAACACTTTCCCTAAAATAATATATCTTACTATTTGTTTCGCTGGAGTGACAGGCATTGTTGAAGCATTCTGAGACGGGGGTCCTGGTTTGCTCGGTATAGTAGGGGTTAATGGGTTCGAAATGCTTTGATTGTAGAGATGGTCCAGCAACGTAATAAACTCTTTGTATATTTCCGTTCTACATTTTGAATCGAAATTATTTAAATCGTTAGAGTGTCGATGAATTTTGTTGTATTTAAACAGTAGGAGCTTCGAGTCGTTACCTCTTCATGTAAGCGAATCGACCCTCCTGATCCTCGAGTGGCTCGTTGTTCTTGTAATAATGTAACGCTGCGTTATTAGGGTCTACTCTTTCTGCACAGCAGAAACATAACTCGAGTACACCCGAATAGAATTGACAAGCGATAAACTGTTGACAGACTGCGCTCAAATTTAACCTGGGAGCCACTTCTTTGCACAACTGGAAATACAAAATATGGAATGAAAAAATTTCACAGAAATCGAAACTGATTCTGTTTACCTTTAAAGCGGCCTTCAAGTACCATTCTTTCTCTTCCGGATTTGTACAACTTTTTGCTTTTAATATTATTTCGTTGGCCTATAAATCACATGATTAATGCTTTTATGATCAGATCTTTCTCACTATTGAGCCAAGAAAATATATTTCTCCATACCTTGGAACAAACAGCATCTTCGCTTCTGTACAAATTTGGACAAACTTCCCTTAATCGTTCACTAACTACGTCGACGGACGCATTGTCTCCGAGATAACTGTGAAATATTAATGAAAATTAATGAAATATATTTTTACGTCATATTTTAGTCGTTTTACCTGTCTATAAGATGAATAATTAGCAATGAAGAAATTTCGTGGCCAATCAGAATCAGATCTCTGAAGGTGGCTGTAGAAAATTGGTTAATTTGATCCTATAAACAAAATTTCAAAACATAGATTCGCCAGTATATGTTTAAAAAAATATATAACGAAGAATGGAATAGCCAGTTTACCTTTGACAGACAATTAACAATATTATTTAAATGGTTTTCACACAAGATCTTCCAAAGTTCTAAGACCTCGCAGGCATGAGTAATAAAAATTTTCAAAGCAGCCAAAGAATTCCTTTCTTCGACTATTGGCTCTTGATAATGACTCGACACAGTTGTTTCAAATCCATCAGTTATAGCTCTGCCAGTGTTAGGTCTGGAAATAATAACAGTTTTCATTTGGAAAGCAAAATTTGCAAAACATTACTGAACCAGTTTGGAATAATCTACACAACACTCACTGTTTGGTAATGTGGGTGTTTTTATTGAGAAATGTTCTTAACGCTTGTAAAAGTCCTAAAATCCATGTGACCTGTCTCGATGGTATAGTGCTGGATATCTAAAATTATCGTACAGATAATACATTAGAGTCTTGTGTCTATATTTCTTCTTTAAATTTATTTTACAACTTAACGTTACAATTATTTATTATCTATTCAATTTTCGTCACTTGCTGTAGAAGCTATTACGGGTTGACACAAACTAGCTCACCTGAGTCTTATTATTCACGGTTTCCTGTTTAATACATCGCATGTTCCATATAGGACGAAGTATTCTTCCCACGTATAAATATAAACCATTGTGCTTCGCTGAGAACTGTTGCAGTGGAATGTCTGTGTTAAGTCCCACAGGTGCGTGAGGCCGGAATCCTTGGTACCTCATATCGTAGTTAGGAACTCTGGGCGTGGATGTACGTATATCTACTACAAATCGAAGACTTCAAAGGATGAAGGGTTTATGTGACACTTTTTGTGAAAACTGAGTTTTCTCAGCGAACAAAGGTGGTACGTAGTGTTCTTTCGCATAGTACTATATTGCACGTTTTCCTACCACCGAATAAAGAAATATAAAGAGAATGAAAGATATAACAAGGGAAGAATAACTTTCAAAGCCAGTTTACTAGAAACTTTTGTAACGTAACACCTTTAACCTCTGAAGCCTTCAATTTATAAGTGTCATGAGTGGATTTACAACGAAAGAATAAAGTTAAGATACCTGTATTCATATTAGCAAAAGTATTATGTACATCCATTCCTGGCCCCACGCTCGTCATCCGTTGACTACCATACAAAAAGAACGCTCTTGTTGCCCATTCCGCCAACTATACGTTATGAAATATCAGTGATCTATCATTTTTCTTCAACTGCAAATATTACATGCAATCACGTTCTACTTTTATATTGTTAATTTTGCACAATAACTGAAAGTACACGCGAACCGCCTCTGTATCCGGTCCCCGTTGCTCCAAGAGAAGTTGTTTAAGGATGTCCATCGGACGGACTTGTACAAAGATTATCGCACCCTGGACGTGAAAATACAAATGAACGAATGTGTCCCGCAAATGCAAAAACATTTATAGACTGCGGATTTTATGCATTTATACCGTACACAATTGTCTGGAATAGAGTATAGTTATGAGTTTAAAGTTTTCATTTTATTTGAAACCTGGTCGACTACCGAAAAAAGTAAACAAATGTCTGTTCGACTCCAGTTCCTGTAAATTCGGCTATGAAAATTTATATTTGCATATGCATCCGCAGTCTATTTATCCGCTTTGTACCTGAGACGTTAAAAATATAAATTTTCTGGGAGCTTCCATGTGCTGCCTTACGAGAAGCGGAGGCTCCCCTTGGGAACAACTTTGTTTCTCAATCCGTATAGCCGGTTCAACAAGGATTTCCGCCATCGCCCATACCGGACTATCGAGGGATAAAGGACTCTGAGTTTCAGCTAAATAATTCGTAAATGGATAAGCATCGTTACTTAAGCATAAAGCTGTTTCAGTGTCTCCACCGCACACGAGAATTAATGTTCCTGTAATAAATATATCGTCTATAGTTTACGGATCACTCGTGAAAAAAAAACTATTGCAATTGTTTTATTCTATTCATTGGTAAGTCGAATGAAATTAATCGACGGAGTAGCCATTTTTTGCTCTGTTCGTATGTCATACGACCTAAATAGGCAAAACTGATTGAAATACCCAAGTTAGATGAGATCCTGTATATACTTATTTATAGATTAATATGTGTTATTTTATAAACAGATCAATCGTAATACCTTTTCTGTAATGCGCCATTTGCACTTTTCTTGGTCTCATTACAGTAGCGTTAGCAGCATATCCTGGAGGTAATCTAACATGTATTAATTGGAGACCTTGGGGTCTAGTTGTTGGATTAGCGACCGAAGTGCAACTGAAGTAGAAACGTGTTCCCGTAGCTGCAACTACAACTAAGTTTAAGTGTACTGATTCGGATTCTGTAATAGCAGATATGCTCACCAATGGCCGGAAGTTATTGCTATCAAGTGTTCTAAAAATGCACGAATAAAAGTTCCGTCAGTTCGAATTACCTGCCACTTTAATATATGGCCGCAAACATACCCGCGTATACGTACTTTACAACGTGAACGGCATTTTGTACTAAAGAAGCTTGCGACATAGACGCGACTTTTGCTGCGCCATCGTTATCAATGTCCCAAACCGTAATTGTTCCTTTGTCACCGAGAGTGTACAAAATGTTACGGGAATCGTCCACAGAGATTTGTATTATCGCCTCTTCTTCCGACAAAGCTATCGTGACGAATGATGGTACTAGGAATGATAACGGACCTTCGGAATGATTAATTTTTTTACAACGCTTCCCGAACCAACTACTCTCTGCCTGTGCAATGAACGTATAGAATAAGTTTACTGTTAGTTGTCCTTTCACTTTTGGCCATTCTCATCTTTACATTCGTCCAGGCGGTATTACCTGATAATATATTTCGTACAGAGAACCGTTTCTACCACCGAGGAATATTCTGCCTTTACTCGTATTCGCTATTGTTGTGATTCCGATACCATCTGTGGTGACTGTAAAGATTGGTTCAGGAACAAGCTGCATTTCTGGCGACGCGCCTAAATAATGGGGTAGAGACAATCAATAATTCTGTAGACAGAATTTCAGATCAACGAAGTAACTGCAATACCTTCGGAATTTTCTGTTAACGTGACTCCAAGAATAGTTATCTCCACTGTAGTTGTAAGTATCAGCAAATATTTCACGTAAGATTGAAATATGTCTGGCTTCGGTTTCACTAAACCTACGCTTATTATAGTCTCGTTTAACCCGTCGAAATATGCAACATCAGACCTGAAAGTACATCATTGAACAACTGACTGTTTCCTGTTTCACCGAAAATTGTACAAATAGTTATATGAATATTTACTCGTTTTCATATGACCACACGTATATATCGCTATCGATTGTAAGCCACGCTTTTGAAATTTCTGTGAACAAGCCCATCATACAGTGACATTGCATATCTAAATAGACATTAAGAAATTACAACTTATTTAAAAAAAGAACTGAAAATTAAAAAGGCATTTGAAAAATCGTAAAGGATACGGTGAAAGTGTTCCATTACTTCAGAAGGTAAAGAAATTTTACTGTGCAATTTCATTTGATTTATATTCGAAAAACCCATTGACATCCCGTTTAAATTTGGGTAATCGTGATCATCAAGACCACTAACAGTTGGTCCACCTATAAATTAAAATACACACATTATGTTTGGAAATTAATATCTTTATATTTTGTTATTACTTAAATACAGTAAAGAAAGCATTGTTTACCTTGTACATTGTACCTCATAAGATTAATTAAAGAAGGAAAATTGCTGTCAGCAGTAATGTGAGCATCGACCACTTTCCCTGCCATTTCGAGAGCATCTAAGTGTATTTTAAGTGGCTCCATTTCTGTGAGAGTCATGTTTGTACTAAACAAAAACAATTACATTATACACATTTATATTGGTATTATATAACGATAAAACAATTATGTAGATATAATAATAAATAATATAATTATAACAACGATTACATTTAACTGCGAAATACATTGTGAACTGCGGATATTTACTTTCTCAATTAGTGGTTTCATTAAGTACAAAAGAAACTAAAACAGTACTGTATCGACTATGACAGTGTAAAATCCGTAACGTAATAATAAACATAGAATAAGTGTTTCATATTATTACTTGTTAATACGAAAACTGGTAGAATAAGAGCGTAACGCACGGGCTATTGTACAATTATTCTCAATTTAGCAATTAGGTAGCTCTTTCATTTCTATTTATAACAATTTATTGACACCTCGATTTTCCCACTTTTTTACTAAATTACCATAATTGAAGGTTAGACTTGTTTATATCGGTAAAACTCGAACAATACTTAAAACAGTACGGTAACATACACATGATTGGAAATATTATAGGAAAACGCAGACGAAAATGTTTAAATCTATGTTGTGCAACACTTACAACAATTTGTTATAACTATTTCTATACTATCGATGACACAAAACGTTTCACGAGGTTTGTGTCGCTCGCGCCATGCAGATAAATTTCAGACTGCATGTCATATAAAACGCAACGCGTGCGTAGACCCGCAGACCTCATTGGTTTCGATTTATCTCAAAGATAAAAATAAACTTATTTGAATTCAAATCAAGGCGCTTCGTCCACTCATATTTAAATTTAAAAGATAAACCGTTAAAGCGAATTAAACATGAAACATTATGAATTACAACGACGAAATTATTAGAACTGTTTACTCAGAGAAACTTCTATTTAACAAAATTCAATATACATATGTATTTGTATGTAACGAAAATGTATAGAATGATTATGAACCGATATTCTCGTGAAATCACCCTATATATTATCAACAACGATGAAGATTTCAATATTCCTGATTACATTAAATTCTTATGCTCTTGCTGGTAGGAAAACTCGTTTTAATGCTTGAGCATGTCTTTATTCATTTTATTATAGGCGATATATCAAACGCTGTACAAAATCTTTATTGTGAGCTTGGATTGAATAATGATAATTCATGCCCCATCGATGGTGGTTGGACTTGTTGGAGTTTATGGGGACCTTGTTCCGGGAAATGCGGATATAAAGGCAAAAGAAGTAGACACCGTACTTGCAATAATCCATTACCTTCGAATAATGGTGGTTCTTGTGTTGGTCCCAGTTATCAAACTGAAACTTGCCAAATTACTGGTACCCTGTCCAAAGAAAACAGTAGAGATTAATCTAATTTTTTAAACGATTAATTTCAAGCATTTTTCAGGCTGTACAATGAGGGATTACGAAGACGTTGTTCATAATCATCCTATACGCATGGGAGAGATGGAAATTGTGAAGCGAATACACAGAAAGTTACCTGCCCTGATTGAATTGTGTTTTTCTGTTGATTGTACCTTTTCCATCGTCAAGAAGATTCTTGGAAATAACGCGGTACGAAGTAAAAACAAATTTGTAATTAATATGAGAATCAACAATTATTGAAAAAAGAATTTAAGGATGTTTTATGTATTTTTCATGAAGATGCGTTACTGGAATGCTATGAACTGTGTCAAATACGACGTTGGGTGTCCAAGTAAACAGGCTTATGTTAAATTGAACCAACACTATAATTTATACATAAATGGTACTACATTTTCTGTAGGTTCAGGAGGTTGGAGCACATGGGGATCTTGGTCGTCGTGCACTGCTGTCTGTGGCAGAGGTCAGAAATATCGCACACGAACCTGTAATAGTCCAGTTCCTTCTCATCCTGAATTAATGTGCGATGATTCTTCTTTGGAAATGAAAGGCTGTCTGGGACTTAGCTGCAAAAAGCACTCAAGTATATTAGACATATTTCGTACAGAATGTAAATCAAGTACTACTTGCTAATAACTCGATAGCGGGAACTTGGACTGATTGGAGCAATTGGAGTGTATGTAGTGTACAATGTGGCAATGGTATTCAAATAAGAAGACGGTCATGTTCCAAGGTGCAAAGTACTCAGGAAACATCCTGCGAAGGTCCAAATAAAGAGATAAAAGCTTGTACAATTAGTAACTGTTCCGGTGAGACCATAGAATCTGTAACATGCTCGTACAAATAATATGTAACATAATATAGATGTAATTATTTGTACATTTTTTTCAGTCAACGGTTTATGGTCCTCATGGACACTTTGGACATCTTGCTCGTCAAATTGTGGAATAGGCACACAGTTGAGAAATCGCATGTGCAATAATCCATCCCCAAGCGGTGGTGGTGTCCCTTGTTCTGGTTCTGCTTCCGAGGTTCGTCAATGTTTCAGCAAACCATGCACAGGTACGTTTGTAATTAAATTAATGTACTATTATTATGTCCCAATATCGTTTATTCTGATTTCAATAGTTAAATCGCACGAGGTAGCGCATTTCACAGAAAAAAGCAGTCTTTCATACGCCATAAATGGAAGACCTTCGCGTTTACTTCATATATATTTAAGATTTTTACCACTGGTACCATTTGGTGTGCTTATTCATCGATACGATAGCGATTGCAAGGGATCGTTCTGTGACTTTGTAAAGTTGTCTTTGCAGAATGGAAAAGTAGTACTCTTATCTCAAATTTCGGGCTGTACAATGGGTTTAGTTCACGAAGACAAGCTGGAAGTAAATCGAAAAGTTTTTTCGTATTGTTACGTTTTCTATCTTAAAGAAAATACTTTTTAGATTGGAGAATGGCATGTGATATTTGCGGTAATATGTGGGATACACGGTGTGTTACGTATCGACAATGGTCTGCACAGAGTTGCTACTTTTTCGTGTATTCCAATGTCACATAATTTGGATCATGTTATGACAGTCGGAGAAGCATTTCGCGGTCAAATTCAAGAAATAGTTATTAACTTTGTGTCTATTCCACTTCGTGTACCGAAGGTACACTAATTGTATTTATACTTAAGGTTGGATCATTTAGAATTGGTATAATAGAAAGTATAATTTAGGGTGTATATAATCGAAAGCATAGAAATGCTCCTTTTAGTATCAGTAATGTGCAATATTTACTGGGAGATGACGAGGAAGCTTTTATACCTGTTAGTTTAACAGAATCAGTTGCTGCACCGTGTCCAAAAAACATGGAATCTTGGCAAGTAAGGAAGCTTTTGCGAGATGTACTTGATGCTACAAACATTTTCATACAATCTCCAATGTAGATCACTGTTGCGATAAAAGTAGAAGATGTAAATGGCATTGTGGCAATTATACCAGACGACTTTTGCAACAAATACATCTTACTACTACTGGAAGAGGGCAGAGTGAAGCTACGGTTTCATCAGGGAGCAACTCATGTTGCTGCTGAAAGCACAGAACATATTTTAACAGGAGAATGGTTCGAGGTAGTACTAGTTCAAGATGGTAAAAAATTGTACATGCAAATTAATGGAAATGAGAAGAAATATGTGCCTCTAGTTTCTGAAAGAATGGTTACAGTTGCGACCAGTGTATTCATTGGAGCTATACGCGATGAAATAAAAGTAAAACATCATGTAGACATGTTACTTCCAATTTGATTGCGATTATACTTTTTTTGCGATAGGAGAAGATATGTCCGAAATGCGCAGAAATACCACAAATGAGTTTCACTCTTGGATATCTTAATATAGATGGAAACCAAGTAGATCTCCTATCGTTACCAATTTTAGAAACAACCAGTAAACGTTTTGCGAGTCGCACTGTTAGTTTATCTGGTAGTAATTATTGGTAAATCAACACATACTATATTTAATATATATTTGACATTTCTTTATAATTTATAGACTACTACGAAGAAGTCCCTGTATTATTAGGTCAAGAGCTCAAGCTATCGTGTTTCTATGATAAAGTTCCTCGTGAGACAAGAATTCACGCAGCTTCAAAGAAATCATCCGTTGCGTGGTTATTAATGGATAAACCATTGCAATATTACGGAAAAACGTTAAATGATTTTATACTTGAAATTCTTAACTATATATATACGTATTCCGTTTGCAGTAACTTATTTTTTTTCGAACAGTGACTTCGTTCATCTGAAAGACAATGGCCGTGTTAGTACTATTAGCATTGCAAGCTATGCATCTCGCGATGACATTGAAAATTTCTATTCGTGTCATATTCAACCTTATAAAAATAAATCATATATAGGTTCTAACCGAGCTATCTTCACATTTGGAATCACTGTAATAGACAGAAACAGAGGTAATATAATATTACATTTGGTTCACGTATACATTCTAAAGGGTATTACATTTTTATGCATAGAATTTAAGAATTCATTTTGGCGGAAATGGTGTTTTATCTGCGTAACTGCAGTCACGTGTTTCGCATTTTTAATCTTTTGGTGCGTATTGGAAGTAATACAAGACGTACGAAAAGGGTAACGTTTAATACGATTATAAATAGTTTTATCGAAATCGAAACGAATGGAATTAAAATTCTGACATTTTTAGATACGGTTTTTATAGACTCCCGGAAATACTTAACGACGATCCGACTTCCATTGTAAATTTTGTTCAATCTAAGGATGGAATAACTTTACTTGGTGGGCAACAAGCTGCGAATGAAATTGCATTGGGAGTGACAGACGATAATTAAACCGTCAAAGTAAACACGAAAATTAGAATACCGATTGGAAATATTTGTACACTGAAAATAAACGATTATTTCAGTAAAATACTTATATTTTTTCCCCTTTTTTTCTAGAAAATAGATGTACATTAATTTTGAATTTTAACAGTAAATACAATTACTTTTAACAGTACGTTTAAAAAAAAGTAAAGTTCCTTACGTCACAATAATATGAAATAAGACGATTTCAATAGTGAATTATTCAAGGTAACAAGAAGTAAAATTTGAAAAAATATACTTATATAAATGCTGTTTCACAACGACGATAGCTTCTATTTACAATTAGATGCTGCAACATAACGTTCTATATTGTAAGAACCAATCATTTAATATGAAACAGAAATTACAATCAACGATTCCTATAATTACTTACGTGTAAAACAAAGCTACTGAAAGACAATGTGATTTCTACATTATGTATTGCTTATATGAACTGAACTTTGAACCGTTGCAGATACTGATTTCGTCAACTAATTCGCAGAAAATGCTGTTTCACAGAATATTTTGAGCAAGTACTCTCGTTAATGTGCATATCAAAATTTCTAAACGTCACAGTAATTAAATGCAATATGAAACGAACGAATGAAATAAATAGAATATAATCTTGCATCTCACACGATCCATATTTACTCAAGTGATTTACAACTGTTCAACTAATATTTTCCCAGGAATCACCACTGCTGCTGCCACTAATGGAGGAGTGTTTCATTAACTGTGGCAATTCAAAATGCCATTTTATGTCTTCATTTATAGCGACCCCGTTGGCTATTTCGTAATTCAATAACGGCGGCCTTGCCTTGATACCCAACGTCGTGGGTCTATTACTAGGATTCTCATCCAACATCATTTTAAGCAAATCATACTGAAAAGAAAGCGTTCTCGATTAATTTAATGTTAAAAAAATCTGTAGAAAACGAACAGTTGATTTTTGTACCTCAGCTGGATGATCGACATCGAAGTCTTTCGGGAACACTGACTTCCTTAAATTGATAAGGGCAGCTACCCTTTCCATTTCAGTAACGAATGGAATAAGAAGTTCAAACAGAATTATTCCTAACGAATAAATATCGACTTTGTAATTGTAACCTAGCCCGTTTATTTGCTCGGGAGACATGTAGAGGTGTGTACCGACATAGGCGGTGTGCAAACTGTTTTTCGGAGAAACATCTCTGTTCTCTGAAAGCGGCGTATGGGCTTCACTGTACTCTTCTGTCATCGCGGTGACGAGACCGAAATCACCCACTTTGATTTTGTCGTCGAAAGAGAAAAATATATTTGATGGCTGAAATTCGAAGAAAATAATTATACAACATGAAAAATTAACTCATTCTAGTAATAAAAAAAAAGGTAGTACTAAAATAAAAATTAATTATATCTAATAAGCTTATTATAGTTCTTTAAACGATACTTTGTCATTTACATTTTACACGTATTTAGCTTTACATCTTGTAGATTCAAACGAGTCCTATATAACCACAAAACATTTTACCTTTAGATCACGATGGATAAGCCCTTGCAAATGAACATATTCCACAGCTTCGATAATTTGTTGAAATATATTTATTACACGACGATAATCTCGCGTTGGCTGGTTTTTCAACCATTCCCTGAGGCTTAGCCTTTGACACAGTTGCATCTGTATATAAAGGAACATTTTTCGAGACTTACGCATATAGGATTTGTTATTCAAATCCAAAGAAAACGATCTTTGCCGCTTTCGCCTTTCTTCTTTTTCGACGTGTTCATTAGTTTCAATGTGTTCTACTACAATATTATGGGAGTTTGTACGATTATCAATGTCCGAGAATATGTTATCATCTGCATTATTCGAACTTGATGAATTCAAACTTTCGGTGCTGCAATTACTCATGTCTATTACATTTTCGTTCTGTTGTTCTGAACAGGATTTCTCGAAAACAATAAAAGAATCGTCATCGGAATCGGAATGATTTAACGCGTTATATGCTTCGCAAGCACTTTCCACCGACGAGTGATCGGTCAGAGAAACATTAATGCAAGTAGAATCGTTGACTTTCGATTCCGTATGAATTCCATCCGATGTAAATTCTAAACTTGGCAACGTTAATTTGTTCATCCATTCAGGGTCATATTTCTCTTTCCAGCCCGCGGGAGGACATTCTAACCAGGCGTTGAAATATCTCACGATATTCTGATGGTCCAATTTAGCTAACGCCTTCACTTCTCGCATTACACGTTCCCTTGAAGACTGACTGTAAATAAAAGAAAATAATTATGAATGAAGGTTTTCGAAAATTCTTCTAATTTGTAGATGAAAATACTGAACCTATTTGGCAGAGCAATTCTTTTGATAGCGTAATTACAATCATCTATTCTGTTCTTTGCCTCAAAGACAACACCATAACCCCCTTTCCCTAAACAATCGACTGGCACAAAATCTGTGAGGTAACGTGATATAAAATTATCAATATTGTCTTTATCGTTGATCGTCTGTTGAGTATTCGTAATCGTCTCTATATGTCTTTCCACTATTAAAGGCTAAAAAAATACACAAAAATTAATATTTTTATATAGTATAAAAATATAAAAGTAAAAAGTGCATATATGAGTACAGTGGATAAAAAGAGTATTGGCATGCTTAAATATCTTATGATAAATGTCTTAAATAGATCGATAATGTATACGCAAATACTTCTTTTAATTAAAAGTACTTATATTACCGGAAGTACTGCATCCTCAGCAACAGTAGTAGCGTTCAAAAGACGTTGTGTCAACATGAAGTTGAGAAGAATTGCAGTAGTAATTGAGATTATCAAAACTTCTCTCCTGTTTATAAAATAATTTTCTATTAAAAATTAGCATTTTAAGTTTCTTTTCCTAATTTTACATACCACCAATACCACAGCGAAACAATTATAACTTGAACAGGAGTATCGTCCTCTTCCCCATAAGTATTGTTCGGTGTAGACGGCTGTTGATCGTCTTCGTTAATTGTTGAGTTTAAATTAGTACGATTACATTGTTTGTTGTTATCCAATTGCAACTGATCTTTCGAGTACAAATAAAACCCATTGCCTATAATGAATTGTTTATCAAACGAACCATTTTTAAAAGAACTTCTTATTTAATTGTCAAAAAAGTTTTCGAAATTTTCATACCATTTACATATTCCGAATTATACAGAACTGACAATGCAGTAGTACTCTGCGCATCATTTATCTGAAGCAGGGCGTTTTTGTTTTCATCGTTATCCTCGAGATCTGGAAGGGCTTTCGTAACTGCAGTACCTAAAATACACATTTTACCATAAATTCATAGTAAATATTAATGAAATAATAGTATTTATTTTTCGGAAAAGAAAGAAAACAAAAGAAAAAAACCTAAACAAACTATCATACCAATAGCAGGATATGGCTGCCATGGATATTTTAAGTGTTGTGTGTACGGCTTCAATAATTCCAATGATGTATGCAGCTTTGTGTTTTCTTGTACATATAACTGTCTATCGTGCATACCCAAATAAATTCCTGGACTAACAGAGAATTCTGTACCCCAAGACCACTGTGTATTATCAAATAGATTAATTTCCTTCAAACTTTTTTGCCCACTGCTTTTACTTGCGTGTTCTCGCCATATAGTGACAATTGGAGAATCAAACTAATAAAACGTAAAGAAATACAATTAGTACAAGATTTCAGAATTGAATCTTGGTTTTGTATTTAAATAAAACCAACCTTGTACTGCCACAATATTATTTTGGGATCATTGCTACTAACAGCCCAGATCAAGCCATTGGGTACAATGACTTTAATTTCTATATCCAGAGCAAAAGCTTCAACTTTATTTTGGCAATCTACATCAGACTGAGGGGCCAGTATCAATTCGTGTTGGCCAACGCTGAAGTTCCATCTGTTTGAATACATATTCTTTTAACACATACATATTAAAAACTTAAGGAACAATATTTAAATTTCCTGAACTTTCTTTTAATTTGAAAATTTTTAATTTTAAGAAACTCGAATTACGTTCAAGGAACTTTATGAAAATAGTTTACCTTTCATTACCAGTACGTGGTTCGACTGCTCTTACTGTTTGTTGGAAACGTTGGATAATGAGCACATCTTTCTCAATATATGATTCTCCTTTGGTGGTATTGGTACAACCGGTGATTCCACATTCGTATAATATTTTTCCAGTTGCACTTGAAACCCCTGTTCCAGAACAAATAGTTTACATTTATGTTATTCCATGCAATTTATTGAAAAGAATAAAGTTAACACATTCGAGACCAATGTCCCAGTGTATGAGTCATGCAATAACCAAACCATTTAACCGATGGCTCAACATGTGGTTCATATATAGGCAATACATAAACATTGGTGGTTTTTTAAGATACTTTTTTAATAATACAGCAGTCTTGAATGTATTAAGTCTTATAGGACTTTTTGGTCTTTTTCTTATAAGTCTTTTTGGTATATCAAATTCACTGCTTACTTGCATATTTTAACATTCTTTATCAATTTGATCATTATCATTTGCATTTTAAGTACACAATTTAAATATTTACCATAAGATTTCACTTCTTTGCCACCAGAAAATATTAAATCATCCGAATACCTATACGATGAATACAATAACTGTGTTGCAGATACAGGCACTGCTTCTAAATGTTCTCCGTCAAATTTATATAATCCACCTCTTAAAGATGGTATCAGACGAACCCATTGTCCATTATTGTTGAGCTGCAAAGTATTACTTAACATTGTGAAAACATGAAATACTCAAAGTATTATTTAAGATTGTAAAAACATGAACTACTCAAAGTATTCTCAATGTTTACATACCTCTCTACGATGTATACTCGATGATAACATGGGTCCTTCATTAAAATCTAAAGTCCACTGTTTCTTCCCTAAATCATTTGCATCTAGAGCAGATACTTTTCCATCTAATGTGCTCACAAATACTAAACTAAAAGAAATCATAAAAATAAAGTACATATATCAACTGTTAATTACAAATAAATACTTAAGGCTCGATCACTCATACAGCATAAAAACATACAATTTGCATAATACATCAACGATTTCAAGTGTGACAAACAAAAAAGTTAGTGATGCAAAAACTTACAGCAAAACAACTCGAATGTTACATAATTTCTTTAATTTCGGGTAATTTCTTTTGGTACTAATTACTACATCGTTTTTCTACATACCTGTATCCGTACAATCAAACTGCAACATCAGTTAATCAGACTTGAATAACATTGATAAAATTGCAAATATTTGAAATCGAATGAAACAGGTATGTCGGACCGAAAACCATCGTTAATTCACTCATCACACAGACATGATACACACGATAGTAGCTTCCCAATTACCTTCGAGATGTTTTCTGCTCGCAGAATGTCAACTGTTTTATATTGCCGCTGTCAATCAGCGGAAATATCAACGCAATTGTAAATAACAAACGAAACCATGTTCGTCCCCATCGATGTGTGTCAGACATTTTCGAAGTACGGAGACGTTGATTACTTAAACACTACATTTTGTTTGGGATGTTTACGTGGAGCAATGCACACGACGTTTTATCGCAATATTCGATAAAATACAATAGATATTGGTTATTCGGCGCGCAGTGACGAACCATGGTAGGCTCCGGATTCTTCGCAACAAACAGAAATTCTAGCGCCATCTCAGGGACACACTTTAATCACAGATAACATGTATTTTCAATTGAAAAATCGTATAATAATTGATACTGTACGATTAAACGGCAGATCTCTATGCATTTATAAGATACGGGAGTTTTTAGAAGATTACAAAATATAAGTTTTAGTAGAATTTAATACAGTTGTCATTACTGCAAAAAAATACAATTTTACGTAATTTCAATTTCTTCAAGATTATTTATGTATATGTGAATTAGTATAAACTATCACGCTCTGCTTATAGAACGAATATATAACTGTTCGTTGTAGAGAAAGCATTTTATTGTCGCGCGAATAAAATAAATACGCGCTAAAGGAACGAATTCATTGCGAAAAATGCCGTATCCGGATATTGGCGTTGCTAAACAATCGTTGAATATTGTATTGTAAGATAATGAGATGGATGCCTACAGGGTGTGACAAAAATGTTAGAGGATCCGGAAATGGGAGATATGAGGTGATTTGAAACAAGTTCTTCCTTAGCAAACGTTAACGGTAACGTTGGCTACGCACTGCGATTGGTAACCGACGTTACCGCGGGAACTTGGCCAGCAGACTCGCGCTCTGGTTGGTCGGGGTTTTTTTAATATCTCGTTAACAAAGCCTCGGATAACATTTTCGCTAAAGAAAAACTTGTTTCAAATCACCTCACGAGTTTCCCATTTCCGGGTCCTCCAACATTTTTGTTACACCCTGTATTTGAATCGTTGGTGCACTTGTGAGAATGGACCGTCTCGTTCGTAGCCCTCTAATGGCGATAGAAGAAGATGCATGCACACGTCGAGTATGTATCACTATACTTTTTCTACGTTACGGATGATTATGGCGAAGTTTGCCAGATGGAAGTGAAGTGTTGTGTAAAGAGTACGTTTGTCGAATTTATCAAACGAAGTTTATTAAAGTGAGGGTAAGCGAGACGATGGATTAGATTCTGTTTCGCCGTTTCGATGAGTTTACGGGAAGCTATCGCACCTGCGAATGGAAGTTTCCCTCGTATGAATTCCGTGCTAATATCTGTCCTTTCCTCCAGCCATACCTGAATGTACAATAATAGACTTGGCTGGAACCTGCAGCCTGATTAAATAAATAGTATTGTCTATCTCTCGAACTGCTCCACCACTAGTAACCCAACTACCCTTTCGTCCGGCGCAAATAGACTGAATCGGACGCAGCGAGATTTTTTGCTGTTTTATTAAAAAGTCGCCAGACACATAACCTTGTTAACAGCAGTGCTTTTGCAGAGTTTAATTTCATCGTAATGTAATTTTCATCGGAGTATATTAGTGATTAGCAGAACTGTGTGGAAACGTAGTATTTCTCGAATCCGTTCTATTCAACTTCTGTTAACGATCGAGTTATTTAGTTTATTCCAGCGGTTTATTCGCGTAATTTTGATTGTTTTTATAATTATAATCAGTCTTCGCTCCGTTTATTTATTATTTCACTGTCTTTATTGCGTTACGATCAATAATAGATCATTGTATAAGCGTGGGCCATTATACTATTTATTCAATAGAAATATAGAATTTTATTAATTATAATTTATAATCGTTTAATGTGACAAGATTTTCAAGGTCCATGAAATTTTTATTCGCAGCGCAGAAACATGGAGGGTCAACAGTTTTGCTTAAGGTGGCATAATTTTCAAAACACGCTATTAAGCTCCCTTCCTAAATTGCTGGATGGTGGTTATTTAACGGATGTCACGTTAAGTGCAGGTGGCAGACACATACATGCACATAAAATTATACTTTCGGCTTGTAGTTACTATTTCAAAGAGTTGTTCAAGGTATTCATAGTATGATTATGTAGATTATGAAATGTTGAAGCTGTATGGAATAAGAATCGAAACTGTGAATATGATATGGTATCAATGTAAATAAATTTTTAGGATTTAAGTTCTTTGCAACATCCTGTAATTGTATTACCTGGAATGGAATATGCAAATTTGTGTGCATTAGTCACATTTATGTATAACGGTGAGGTGAATATTTATCAAGAACAATTGCCTGCACTTTTGGCTATGGCAGACACTCTGCATATACGTGGACTGGCAGACATTGCTGGGGTAAGGAATCTCATATGTGCTTTTAATTAGTATAATAAATACACAAAGCTGTGTGGTTATACAAAACATTCTGGACTGGTAAGTTCCTGTTATAGTTAATAATATTATAGGTTTTCTTAATACCTTATTGTTTTATTTTGAATGCATATCTTTGGTATATCATACTTTTATCTGTTTTTTTTTTCTTCTCTATGACTGTTCTACCAAACCTCTCATTTTAATGCTTTGCACATGAAATGCATGATTGCATTTTCAGTATAAATGCCATGCAATTAATTTATTGCAAAAATTCGAAAATAGTATAATACGGAATTTAAACAATCAAATTAATTACTCTTTTCAGACCATAAGAATATTATAATTCAAGATTCTATTATTATATTAATTTATAAGGAATAATTTCGTTGTATTTGATTGTATTTACATTAAAATAGCAACAGGTAATTAATATTATCTGATAAATTACTGTTCCTTGCCCAGCAAAGCTTGTCTCAGTGTGAATTGTATAAAACATGAGTAACAAAGCATGTATTTTTTTCGTTGCCTTATATAAATATTAGCAATTCCTTGCTGGTAATTGTTATTTCCTTGTGTAACCTGTTATCCAAAAATATGAAGATACATTTAAAACATTACACTTAAACAACAATTTACAATAATTATATTAGTATTAACAGATCTTATCGTCTAAGTTCGAAAACTTTCGTAAACAAAGAATTGTTGTCCAATAAATGCAATCATTTCAGAATTACTTACTAATAGTTATTGGAACTTCGGTCTGTATTAATGTATTAAAATTTACATTTATGATTTCCGAAAGTAGTTTAAACATTGCGTACTTTACAAGTATTCAAATTCGTCTTCTTTCTTATCCTTTTCTTCAGAAAAATCTTGCAAAATTTTATTTCTCATTTCACGTACCGCCTCTCGTACAACACATTCATAATTTGCATGCAGTATTATTAATTAAGTGCATTAATCATGTACTCGGATACTAAAGATGAAAGTATCGCCTTCTTTATACAGTACTGTAAGGAAATACTATCTAAAGCAAAACGCATATTCGCTTCTTCCTTTCTTAATCTTTATATTACCCTATGATCGTGTTGTTTTGTTCAGGTCACTTAAATACATTCACTGTCGTTCCTCAAGAAGTACCACACGATGGAATTACCTACTACACATGTCATGTTCATACGTGCATCAAAGGAACGATAATGAATATAAACGATATCCACGAGATCAAGGTCGTTGTGTGTGTTGCAACTAAATGCAAGTGGATGCATCCCATGGAACCTTTCCCATAGAATGAGTTTACAGGTATATCTAAAATAGCTTTCTCCAAGAATCTACACAACTAAACTATCGGTAGATCTTTTAGAACAGTTAAGCGTCACTTTTTGTTCTTATTTTTTTTTTCTACACAACATCTACTACATTGCATTACAATAATAAAAATGCTTAATACTTTTAGTCGAGAGTGGTTATAACAAACATTTAGAACCGATGTACACATATTTAACAGTCTTATATACGTTCGTCAAAAAAGGAAGAAACAGACTGCATGGAAATTTTTGTCAGAAAATAACATGCTGAAAAATCAAAGAAGTCAGGCTTAATATCATTATATTTCGCAAAATCGCACATTAAGATTATTACGAAATATATAATCTACTTGAAACGTTTGAAACCAAGACAGTTACTGACAGGTTTTTAGTGATAAAAGATTTTCAGGAATTTCCGAGGCTAGGTAGAACAGAAAATTTGAAAAGTAAAGGCTAAATCTTATGAAACGAAGACAATTGATATTCCAGATGAAAACCTACATTTTCCTGGTTCCCCGTAGTTTACTATTCTTTATTATTATTTTCTTTTTTACAGAAAAATTCGCGACACGACAATGGTTTGTATGTACAACCGCCACCGATGCAATTGCCAGAGAAAACGTTACCTGAAACGCCGATAAAGAAAGAAAGTAAAGACAGTATCACCAGCGGGGAGTCCCTGGAAACGGTTCTGGCAACCGAATCAACGGAAAACACAGAGGAATCGTTCAATGACCATGAAAGTATACCGTACTGCGTGAAGACTAAGCCTTATTACTCCATTAATGCAAAGTTGAATCAGCGAGAAAAAATCAGTATTCCGTCTGTTAATACATCGTCCAATAAATACGCGGAGCAAGCGTATTCGGATAGTGGAATGGATGAAAGTACGTCGGTTTTAGAAGATCAGATCACTCCGGTGGAAGACACGAAACCGCCGCCAGTTTGGGACGCGAACTTCAAATTTCTCACCAGCTCCGTGACCGGTCGGACGTCTCAAAATTACAATAAATCCAGTGTCACTTGCCTTATCTGTGGGAAACAATTAAGTAATCAGTACAATTTGCGGGTACACATGGAGACTCATAGTAATAGTTCGTATAGTTGTACAGCCTGTTCGCACGTATCGAGATCGCGTGACGCGCTACGGAAGCACGTTTCCTACAGACATCCGGTAGCATCGTCTCAAAAACGTTCACGATACAGCACACCGAAACCATAGAAGCTATAATATTATCTATTTAGATATCTTGATTCTTATCATACCCTTATTTTAGGTTATCTCTTTATAAAGAACAAAAAAAAAGCATAAGTTAACGATGTGTTATTCGACTTGGACCCAAGTATATTTTATGAACTAAAAAAACATTGAGATATAAAATTGAAAAGGTAGGTTGTAAATGTTCTGATTTCTTTTTGTTATTTATTTGTTAGGATATTTCGTCCCTTTGAGCGCCAGCTTTTTTCTTGTGATCAAGAAAGGATGGCGTTTGCTACGAAGTATTTTGATTATTATTATAAGGTTCTTGAAAATGCTTCCTTAACCAAGTGGTATGTGCTCCCTGTAATTACACTTCGATCGCGTTGTCGCAATTTAGTTGAAGAAAGTCCGATATAGTGTTAAGTAAAACAAATTAAAAAAAAAGAAAAAAAATAGATACAAAGCAATATAAAGACCTCCAGATTTATATGATACCTTAACTGTGTTTTCCATGGACAAGGTAAACATCGCCGCTGAATATAAAAGTTGAATATTTTATTAAACCGCGAGAATTTAGGAGACGGAGATTCACTATAAAAACTTACGTACCTCATCTTTGTAAGAGATTCAGTACTAGACTGATTAAGAATAAGGCAAGTTAATAAGTATGTAATAACGCCTCGATTATTTTTTCGTTTTTGAATGTACAAATAACTTAAAAAGTGTGATCGCGTTCCTCCGAAACCCTTAGTGTTCGAATTGTTACTGTTTTCTTGTTATCGTTACGCTGTTTTAATAAAGAGACAGAGTAGACAACAGACGTTTCCGTTGAGATGTTTTTTCTTTTTTTTTTTCATTTTTCTTCCACAATCAATTCTTTTTACAATTACCCAGTAGAAATCGAAGAATCAAAGAACACCGTGTCGCTTTCATTACGCTGTAAATACATAAAAAATAATTACAGTATGTAAAAACGTTATTTATAATTGACGCTGCGAGAGAATGTAAAAAAGTATCCCGATGGTTTTTGTTTGTAGAGTGTCTCTCGTTTGTGATCCTCTCCTTTCAAATGTACCGAATATAAAAAAGATCACAGTACGATCTGTTTAATCTTATTGAAGGATCGTATTAAAAAATAATACACAATATCCATTGACTACGAAATAAATAAAATGCATCCAAAGATAAGCTCTTTAAAAGACGAAAAATAAGATAAATATTTCACAAAATTAATTAAATCTTTTCTATACGCCACATCTTAGTATTGCAGTCCTGTCCAACTGAGATCAATGTTTCCTCGTCCAGCCACACTAGACGTGTTATTTGACTTTGCGGGTGAGCATCTGAAACGAAAAATTGCGAGTTTATTTATTATTTTTTTAATAAATAATAAATTTCATTTACGTAATAAATTACACTTACTTTTAATAATAGTATGCTTCGCTGGATTCGTCACGCTCCAGATGATAATCGTTGTATCCAAGCTACCACTTGCAACCATAACCGAGTCAGGAGACCATGCCACAGAATTCACTCTTGCATTGTGGAAACCCCATTCTCTATTGTGCGCAAGCTGTAAAATAACGTTTCGTTGAACAATATTTCGAAAAGCATCAATTTCGGCACGCACAGCAATAAAGTCGAAGCGAAAGCTCTACTCACCCTCTAAAAAATCCCACAAGCGTTTAGGAGGAGCAATCGTTACAAACAAATTTGTATGTAAAACACGAACGTACTAGCGGCTACATATATTATATATTTCGCCCTTTATAGACATTACTACGTGCATAAGAAGCGGTGATATATGAATTTATGTTACTAGCATAGTAAGACCTTGCATAAGTTATGGCAATGGCACCTTTGATTTAAAAGCGACTAAACACTTTGTTTTTGAAACTGTACATAAACAGTGTAAACTTTAGTTCTCGTAAGTTGTTTAACCATTGGAATGATTCTTACCTTGTACTCCGGAACAACATAGAGAATCACTTTCCTGTTCGCGTCGCAGGCTACTAAATATTTACTGTCGGGGCTGTAAGAGGCGTCTGTGACTGGACCCAAATGTTCCAGTTCGGTTTTGGGAGTCAAACTTGTGCCCGACAAGGTATAAATATGAACCTGTGAATTACATTTCAAGGGACTACTACATCGAATTAAGTAATTGTGTAATTTCATGAAAAATAAGAAAATTAATAAACATACTGTATTGTCTGATGTAGCTCCTATAGCTACATCGCCATTTTCCTGATTGATCGACACACAGGAAGGTTCGTAATCGATTGGTACACTCGACACCTTCCGGCCATCTTGGGTAACTGTGATCTAAAAATAGAATTACCGTTAATCTGTAATTAATAAGCCATTAAATCGTTACGAACATGCAGGGTAATTTTACCTGTCGCATAGTTGCAATTACAACAATGTCATTGTAAATGTCTAAACCACGCGGTTGGGATTCCAGCTTAACAGCAGACGCGCCTGTGTACGCGTTTGTGGAAATTTCAACGATTCTCAAGGTGTCGTCGATGCCGGCTGTGTATAGTAGATCCTTCGCAGCTTTCATCCCGTTAATTTGATTTCCGTGCCCGTGACCCTGCACGCGATCATTCTCTCCCGTTTTTGCATTCCAATTGGTAATATATCCATCATGAGATCCAGTATATATTGTACTTCTATCTGGACTCAATGTTAATACTGTTATTGGCTTATTATGTCCCTGAAAAGTACGACAATGTTGCAACCTATTCTTGACGAACAATCTTCGTTACATATCTCAATTTAGTTACCTTGATTATTCTAATTGGTTTCTCGGGATTGTTAGCGTCTAGATAATTAATGAAACCACTCAACGATACAGACAGCAAATGATCTCCTTGCCACAAACAGCTAACCTACAAGAACGAAACGCGTTTTTACTTAAATAAAAATTCAATGTTTTCCATAGGATATTGCGAAGCTATAAAAATTTGGCAACGCGATACAAGTTTTTGTATCTTTGAACTAATGGTGCCGTACCTGTTGATCATCGACCATTGTTCCCATATTAAATTCGTTAACCAACGAGCGCGTTTCCACGTCCCATAATTTGCACGTTTTATCCCCAGAGGCAGTTAATATTTGTGTGCCATCAGGTTTCCAAGCTACCTACAAGATTGTAGGAAACTAATTTTAATAGTATGCGCAATATTATTTTTATTGACTATAGTTGTTTCACTGATTTCATTAATAAAACGAATGTTTAGACCTTACAACCGTAGAATATTTGGCTTGCTTACTCCGTATACTCCGCCTTGATGTGCAGGCGATCCGACTTCTCCGACTAAATCCGAGGATGTACCGTCGTAAATAAATACTTTTCCGTCAAAGCCTGCGGACGCAAATAGATTGCCACTAGGCGAGTAACGGACAGCTTGAACAAATCTGGTATGCTCCTGTTTGGTCATTCTAAATGAAAAAAAAAACAATTAGTTTAATATATACGAGATGTTACAATCGAGTTTCAAGAATAATTTTATTTCCGTCGAACTCAACGTAACTGTTCACATTGTTGCCACTTTGCCTACGGATGTAATACTTCGACTGTTGGACGCTAGATGGCAGATTAACAAATGACAACAATGTAAACGCGAGCTTTTTTTGGACAACGCTTTATACAACGTACTTAAACTTAAATGGCGGCCCTTCGAAGACAGCAATGGTGTTATCCTCACTCCCAGTGATCAATCTGAAGGGTCTTGTAGGTCTGAAGTCGCACGAATTGATAGGCTTACTCTGGCCAGAAATTTCACCTACAGATGTTCCGGTTTCCGCCATAAATACATGACCAAATCTGAAGATGCGTACAAAAAATTCGGTTATTACTAAATCTAACGCTGCGTCGACGAAATATTGTGCTGCTTACCTTTCCCTTCCCTCTCCAACTACTACCATACGCTGGTTATCAGGTGACCATGCTATATCTTTAATGGGTCCACCAATGGGATGGAATTCATTCTTCAAAATGTGCTCTTTATTCACCGTGTCCCAGATACGTACTTTACCAGACTGATCTGCAATAAAAAATTTGGTAAATTTTGTATGTATATTAACATGTACACCATAGGTGAAATAAGAATGTCAGAAATTCTACATACCACCTGATGCTATATAGAATCCACTGGGCGAATACTTTGCAACATTGACTGCACAAGAATGTTCCGTATAAATATCGGCAATGGCTGGATTCTACAAAATAATAAGATAGAATTAACAGATATTTGCATTTAGTGGTACCACAAGGTATAGGTACTAATATTCTAGCTAGTCTGTTAATACACTCACATCAATGTTTCTAATGATAACACTATTGCCATTGGTATACAGAAAATTCTTTCCTTTAGGATCACCACCCAACACAAGGGGCTGTCCTCTTTGTGTCCTGGGCAATGTAGCAAAAATGTATTCTGAAAATTTGAGATAAATAGTAGTAAAATATGACAGTAGTCTGTCAAAATACTTCATGTGAAAAAAAATGTCTTCAGATGTAATATAAAGGTAAATTTATCATTAAATCTGAAATTATAAAAGGTAACTGTATAGTATAATATATCTTTCAACTGGAACTGAAATACACTTCCTTGATACATTGGCATAAGTCCAGTGTGTAATATTCCAGATTATTTTAAGCATGCAAACTGTATCCTGATCTAAAATTACGATGATCTAATCCCAATATTTCATAGAAAATATCTCCAACTGATTTTATTTTATATCAGAAATATTAAAAATCGTACAAAATACAGTCAATTATATAATACGTTAGTTATATGTTACAGGTGGATATACTCTATTTAAGACAATACATTAAATTTACATTTAAATATACATCGAATTTTCAATCAAACTTTATTGACATAAATCATCATTTTTTACATAACTTGTAAAATTCCACAGAGTCGAATCTGGCGAGGTGTAGGTATCTCGAATTATTCGCCGTATCTTTTTTTACACAATCCAAAAAGATAAATTTCAAGCGGTGCCGAAAGAATTGCAACGTAGCAGGGCTCCGGTAAAATCGTATAACAAAATGAAAAATAATATTCGTACGGTGATCGGTGGGTTAAATTTTGCATACGTGTCCAAAAAACAGATAAATTCGTAAATGCTATGCTTGCAGTCTATTCTAACACCATGTATGTGAATCACTGATGCATTTGAAGTGTTATGATTCGGCTTAAGATAAGATACCGGAAAATTGCAAAGCACGGTATTCACACAAAAAGAACGGTAATAAAACAGCTAAGAATTATTAGAAGCTATTTAAGAGTTCGAGTGTCACTCACTTGTTTCATAGGACATTTTTATTCCGTTTATTTCTTTTAAATAATACTTGAAAAAACTCAACAATGAGAATCAGTTCAATGCCTCCTTCGTATCTCTTTGCCACCCCCCCACACACTTTCCACCGAAATACTTGTTCCGCCCTTGCCTTATTTAGCCGAGGCATTGAATACAGTGAACCAAGATCGGTGAATAACTGTACAGCTAGCGACACCTGAACCATACTTTTCAATCTGTAGAAATAGATGAAATCTTCACACACCTTAACGATCGAAATACATATGTAATTGTCTCCACCACTGAAGTTAAACCAAAGTGTTACCACCTGGAGTGATAGTTCTCTCTTATGCTGCACACAAAAAACAGTGCAGATAGCGAATAAACTTTTATCACTGATTGTGCATGAAAACTCATTGCCGTCTGTAATTAATAGTGCACTTTATAACGTATCCTAGTGTGAGGACTTGTTTGTGATTGTGTGCGAGGTGTGGTTTTGTGCGCCACATTTGAATGTGAAGTTAGATAACAAATTTATTAATAATAATTATTTACAAAACTTAACAACGAAAAATTAAACATAAAAACTGAACATCTAAATTAATCCATAAAATAGTATCAAACTTTAACATTCAAATTTAGCGCGTGAAACCACGTATTCACACATAACCTACAAAAAGGGATGAATCGATAGAAGTAAATACGAGTACATTACTCGATACTTTTGTTTCGATACCGAGGTATTGGACTGTTCAGAGATTGTTCCACAAAGATAAGTACATAGTCATCTATTCGATACAAAAGGTTATAGAAATCAAATATCACATTTTATTGCAAGTCACCTATACATATTCAAAAATACAACGTTGGGTGTGTTTTTGGATTTTTCGAGTTACAGTAATCTAACATAGAGGTCTCATATATAGATACAAATCTTATGTACAATCGGAATAACTATATACACACATGAGACAAAGTTTTTGAAAAATAAAGACTTAGACATGGGTATTATAAAATGTCACGTGCATTACGCGCATGCAAATAGGGTAATTATTTTAGAAAGCGAACTGTATAATGAACTGTCAAGTTTTGCTTAAAGAAAACCACTGTAGTGTACCAAAAACAACAAAATTGGGTTTTATTGTAAAAATCACATAAGTTTTATAAATTAAAATAATATATATCGCACACGTAATAATATCGTTTGTTTAATATTACACTAGACATCGTTTCGCGTACATGTTCATATTCAGCGTGAAAAGAAATTTTCAGCGAGGTAAGTTCCTTTATGCCATAACGGCGGACGTCTTTATAAGAGTGAAAATTCAATGGTGTAATGGAGATTTTTCAAAGATCTCGTGTAACTAAATAATGGGACCGTTCAATTATTGGAACTATAATAATTGTACAAACAAAAATATAAATGGATACGATGCAAAAATAAATAACAAATACACAAATGATGAAATAAATAATATATGAATGAAAACGTGTGTGACTGAAAATATCATGGCCGGCAATTATTCGTGCGTGAAAGCATGTGCACGTTACATCTAAACAAAATATATACAGTTGAGTTTGAAATATCAATAGAAAAAAGAAATGATCAACGAAAAAAATACAAAAGCTTAACAGCCGACCAATCGTCAATTAACACCTCACACATTTTTACATATGCTTGAATGCTTTCAGAGTCCGAGAAGTTTTGTTATCAAATGCTCATAAAATGTGAGAATGTCAATTGTAGGAGCAGTCTTTTTCCCATCGCTAACTTTATGTCATTTTCAAAGGTGTATTATGGGATGATAATGGTCAACAAAAAAGAATATCACCTATTTGCTCATCTGTTATAGATACATACACCATTGATTAAAAGCATGGAACCATTACAATTATTGTCTTTCTTTTACACCAGTAATAATACTGCGGAACAAAAACATGGTCGTATACTCTTCACCAATAGTGTACACTTTAAAAACAAAAACTATACATAACAAGCAAACTGTTTAAAATTAAAATCCAGTGAAGTGCTCCTGCCTTTAGGAACCCTTCCAATCGGAAGTCTGTCATTCTGCCATCTACCGTGCAACAGTCAAAGTATCACTTACATCCCGTAAGAAATGATTCTGTTTCCTATCTGCATCGTGAAAGATCAGTTTCATTACAACCTCGAGCTATCGTTTCTCTTCCCTCGGAGTTTTATCAACTCTTAACCTTTTCGGGTACTCATGATCGCTCAGTTTGAACGGTACATACATTCTGTGCGATGACCGTCCACGAGCGTTCTCAACAACTGCGCGTAAGAAACAAGAGACCACTGTGTTTCCACGCGAGGAAAACACATTTCCCCTCTTTCATCCAGGTCTGGCAATTCCAGCGTCAAAGTCGTTTACGGCGAACATACATTTCTCTCGACGGTGAATCTCTCGTGTTCTCTCAATAATAATGTATCCTGCGTTTCGCGACCACCTCTTGAAGTAACCGCCTCTCAAACGGCGGCTGACGTCGATGATTTTTAACCTCGGCAAACGAGTTCCCCTTCGTTAGTTTATCGTAGAACGAGCCCCTGTTCGCCTCGAGTTCCTCGATCGACGGCACACGTGCGTGCCTGTACTCGTCGACGTCCTCGTCGCGTGGCAATGGACGTGTCGAGTCCTCTGGAACCGGTCGACCGTCGGGATACACGCGGATCACCATTGGTCCGACCAGATATGGACCTGTATGCTCTGCAGGTGGTCGAACGTAATCGTGTGACGGGACCGTTTCCTCGCCTAGGCCGTTTGTTTCACTGCCGCCGGTGGCTGTAACGAAAAAAATGTCTACAATTAGCAATTATTTGAAAATTAATTAGACTGACAGAATGATTAGAATGACAGAAAGTATCGATACTTTGCATCGATGCGTATTGATTTTTTGTTTAGTATCGATGCATACAATATATCGGACAGAAAGTATCGATATCAATGCATATTGATACAATATTAGTAAAAAAGTTATTCCTTTTTTCACTGCGTTTACTTGTTTTTCGTTTTATAAAATACGTAATTAAAGACACCTTAGAGTATTTTTAAGATCTATACATTTGTATCGAAGGGATATTGAACTGCGTAGTATCGATACACCGATGTATCGTTGCCTAAAATGTCGATATTCATGAACAGATATATCGATTAGGCCCTAATCATTGGGACATCACTATTCGCTTATTCGCTAGTCTAATCGCATTCGTCTTGCGTGTATGTACGGGCGTGCGAGTCATTTCTTGAACGAGAAGACGTGTGACCTCCGCGTTATGATAATTTCATGTCTAATATCTTCACGTTACTCCAAGCCGATGGCTTCCTGCTTCCGGCAGATCGAACATTCGGGCGCCTCTTTATCGCAAGGACTTTCCAAATGGACGTGCAGGAATCTCATTCATCCGAGATATCCTCGTCGTTTTAAACGCAATATCTTTGAACCGAGTGAACTGGTCATCGCGTGGCGTGTGCAATTTTGCACGTACGGCAATTTCCAACGCGTTCGCGTTTGCTTGTCAGTGTACGATCGAAAAAGTCTAGTGGAAAATCTCGAACGTCTACAGAGGATAAGTGAACGCACAGGTAAGAAGAATGTTTTGCGCTATTAAACGTGATCTCGTTCGAGGCAAATGATGACAAAAAAGAAAAAAACTTTCTATAGTGGAAACGGGGCCCCAACGAGACACGTCGGAGAGAACTTTCTCGCGGCGCCATTTGTCTTCGTTCCGTCTTGGGTCACAAACTATCGGGTCCCCGATTCCACACACGCCAATAACAATTATTTTCCCGCGGTTCTGCTGCACGGGCGATTTCAAGTTTCACGGTTAATGTAAAGGTTAACGAGCGTGTCTTGCCGTTGGTGTTTTGGTCTCGCTTGAAATACCATCCCACGAGATCGTTAATCTCGACAACGAACAAGAAGTTTTGGTTTTCCATCGATTAGAACTTTCACCGACTAATTACTTTCATACGCGGCGCAAACAGAGTTATCTCGTACTGGAACTACGTTGTATTAATGTAATCTTAAGGAACTTGCTTTCTACGGGTAAACTTGGGTTGCAAATTTACGAACCCCTTCGACTCTTATCTTTGTGCCCGGACTTTCTACGTTACTTGATTAATTTCGACAAAAAGAAAAAAGGTAAAAGAATTTTTTTATCCATTTCTGATCTGCTTTTCTGCCAGGTTTTATTATCCCTCGTACGTTTTCAAAGTATGATCACTCAAGTTTAAAATATTATGTACATACCTAATGGGTCAGATCCGGTTGTAAAGAAAGAGTCATCTGGCTCGTGCCCGATCCTCGTAGAGTATCTGTTCTTCCCCAGGGCACGCCAGACTGTGACAAAAATGATTAACAGTTAATAATAATAAAATTGCTAATAGCACTAGGAAGTAACTAGACACAGACTCGAGACAATGTTCTAGTGATTCTTGCCGTTTTAGTCGTAAATTGTTTAGCCTTTCGATGTTTATATCGAGTATACTCATCGTAAAAAGATAGCATTTTTTTAAAAATACAGTTCTTAAAAAAAAATTTGCATTTACTGTTTATAGTAAAATTTAGGTAAAACAAAAAACATATTCGTAATTTTAACATATTTCAGAACCATTCAGGACAAAAAAAAAGAATATATGCAAATGCATTTACTCTGCTTTTGTCGAGTATACTCGTCACAGCTTAATAAACAATTACGGACACGAATGCACGTTTTCAAAATGAAATAAAACACTTAAAGTGTTAACTGCAACCCACAAGAATCATTTAAGATCATCGAATTTGAACCGTAATGCCGATCGAAATGTAATGTACTGTGGTTACTTACTCATTTCTTTTGCGCCACGCTGATACGGATCCAACGTGTCGAGGCCAATGTCATCCATGTTGGCCAAATTTCGGAGACCGGAGACCAACAGATTCTTGTTGCAATCCGGCATCGAGGAATCCGCGCAGTATTTGGCCACCTGCTGGCTGAACATCCTGAACAGATGACTCATCTGGAACAAAACACATTTTTGGTTAATTAGGAGGACCAAGATATAAAAATAATGGCTGAATTGTAAGTAATGTTGAACGTAATATAACACGATCCAGTTCACAACTATTATTTTACTTAGGATCGCGGAGATATTAAACGATTACGATCGAAGATGTGTTCCGATGTTTAACCAATGTGAAATCTGTATAGGGTTGTTATTATGTATCCTCAATATTTGTTCTTATCCCTCTTAGTACCTTACAATTTTTTTGTATACCTATGTACCATCTACAAATACCTTGGAGAATTACGCGCTTTAACGGTATTTATTAAAATTAACACATTGTTTTCTAAAAATGTGCCGTAAACTGAACCGAAACTGAAATCGGATTAAAATGAAGAAATTTAATCAAAGATCAGACGTCAATATACATAAATTTTTTAAAATAAAGAATTACAATTATAGCGTCATTTCAAGTTGAATGTTTCTTAAACAATATTCCGTGACGCGTGTAATTGGAAAAACCGCTAGAAATTGTCAGTGATTTATTTTTATCTTGTACACAAAGTACCGATCATCGCGAAAGCTGTTTTCCATTCCCTGAGGGGGGACAAATGCATTCCGAACGCGTCCGGTGAAACTCCCGGCAATGTGTAACGCACGGGATATCGGACACGATAGTTATAACAAACAAATATATATGCGAGTCGCGACCCCGTCCGTCCATCACGTATCGGGCCTGATTGCGATACACGCCTTTTTCTTTTTTTACGTTTTCGTCACGATAAATTCAAACCGTCGAGAAACATGCCCCCGTTCGCGTGCTCCCCCCCCCCCCCCCCCCCCCCGGAAACGCAATATATCGCTGT